CCACGGAGGCAGTGAAAGATCCACCAACGCGCGATAGTTTCTCCGGTAGACGATGATGGAGTACGCCTAGTCACGCACTTTCACATGTGTTATCGCGTGCACATATAGAGCGTCCTAGAATTGTTGGAATAGACCCATAACGTTATTCCTTGTAAGATTTAGAGTCGATTTTTGTTAGCGAGTATCGAGAGATTAATGATCCTTTAGCTGTACGAGGAGATTTCCGCGAACTTAAGTTTCGAGAGATAAAAGAGAAAAAAGCATATTCCTCAGAGAGTTAATTTCAAGTGGACTTTAATTGTATTTTAATTTCCGGCTTCACCGCAAAGATACGTTGCTTGAAAAAATTGAGAGTTTGATGACAAGATAATAACTTTGCTGCGCATTTTCACGCAAAAAAAAAACACGACAGAAATTAATTACCTTCAAAAAGATTTATATAATTAAAAGATTTATATAATTAATTTATATAATTAAATCAAAAAGATTTATATAATTAATGAAATATGTTATAGAATATATTATATAATTAATGAAATATTTTGCTATTGTTAAAAAATTAGAGTTTTTTTTATAGAGGTGTGTATAATTAAATAATTTAAAATATAATTTATATGCAAACATGGAATTTTTTTATGAGAATACTTTAATACGACCTAATTTTATGCCATCCGCGTTTTCAGGGAATGTATTGTGCAGCGTTCCTCGTGTTAAACATATTACGCTCCTGGGATTAACGGTTACATTTGCGATAATAGTATAATGTTACAATAGAATGGCGCGCTAGAGGATTACATGTACGGCTGGAAGTAATTAATTAAACAATTAACTATTCACAGGTAACATTATGCGCAATTTTCAACGAAAGAAATAGAGTAAGGTGGTTCCGGAGACTAGGCATTCATCTTATCCAGGGTGCTGGGAAAGACGGAGGACTTTTTTTCCGTTTACTATCCAATTTTGTTCAACCGCTTTATTGTTCCTCTGTTTCTATCTTCATTTATCTCCATCTTTTCTCCCAATTTTTCGTCCGCGTCCGAGACACCTCGAGTGCGAAATATCGGAAGTAAGATTACCTTCGCGTTATTTTGCATAGAGCCGCATTATATAATTTTATTATGGCGCATCGATTAAAACTTTGCAAGTCATTAACTGAGATTTATCCCCTCGAGACATAGAATAATGATCTCTTTCTGTACTTAGTTCCACGTCGGTTTACATTCTTCGTCCTTCCCCCTGCGTCCCTCTTGCCTTCTTTTTTCTTACGATTCCATCTTTATTTATCTTATCTGGACTTTTCTCCTTCTCTTTTCCTCCTCTGCTCTCTAATGCCGCCCCTACTTCGCGTTTCTGAGGGCTTTAAGGTTTGAACGTGTAATCTTCCTGTTCCAAAACTTATTCCGCGCGCAACGCCTCTTATCCAGAACTTGTCGCGGGCATTTTCACCTGGGACGGGGTGGTGACAACTTTCAGCAAACAGTGATTACAAAGGCAGAACTGACAAACATTTGAAGCAAGAGAGGGTGAACAGTAGATGGCTATCCATCTCTCGCGATGGTATCCGGCTGTTACTTTCCGAGCATGTTTTTGCCACTATTGTTCAGAGTAAAGCTTGACATTAACTTTAACTAATATTATACTTATAACAGAAGCTTTATTCCGTAATATTTTATACGTGTATATTGTTTTCGGATTTACGGAAGTGATAAGATTTAATTTGAGATATACGGGACGAGATATACGGGATGTAAAAATAATATTGTAACGATGATTAATTACTGTCTGACATTGCCCGTGTCTCATTTTGGTTGTATAACACGTGAAAGAAAGCAATGGAGTTATGAATTACGAGAGAGAACGTAAGTAGATAAAGTATAATTCAGGCAGAAGATTAATTCACCCGGTGGGGACTATAATCCCAAGTTTAACGATGAAATATAATATTCGGTAAATACACACACACACACACACACACACACACACACACACACACACATATATATATATAAATGAGCAAATGTATTTGTCTTTTTTTAGTAATTACTCGTTAATGCGCACATGAGTAATGATTGAAGATGGATGTCTTTCTTTAGGAGGAATATCAAAATTAAGCGAAAACAATAGATTTAAAGTTGCGAATCGAATTATTGTATATTACGCAAACTTTTAAATAAGTCTTTTCATGAAAAGTTTTATTTCGATTAAGATAAGAAAAGAAATTTCCTCAAGAGAAATTTCCTCAAATTCTTTATATAATTAAAAGAAATGATAAAAGTATATTTTAATTAATAAAAAATGTTTTTATATTTTATGCGTTCGTCACTTATAAAATATATTTTAGAAAGATAGAGAGAGAAAGAGAATATATATCTATACATATATTATAATTCAATAAAATGTTATTCATGAATTGCATACTATTTTTAAATGGATGATTCAAAAATGCGATTGTGTAATGCCTAATTTTTTATTTTAAAAAGCAAACGACAAAAATTGAACGAGTTCCAAAAGCATTAAACGTTTAATTTCAAGAACATCCTCTGGATCCTTCTCCATGGCTGTCCCGACCGTCCGTAGCGCATGAAATTCTTTATATAATTAAAAGAAATGATAAAAGTGTATTTTAATTAATAAAAAAGGTTTTTTTTGCGTTCGTCACTTTTATAAAATATATTTTAGAAAGGTAAAGAGAGAAAGAAAATATATATCTATACATATATTATAATTCAATAAAACGTTATTCATGAATTGCATACTATTTTAAAATGGATGATTCAAAAATGCGATTGTGTAATGCCTAATTTTTTTATTTTAAAAAGCAAACGACAAAAATTGAGCGAGTTCCAAAAGCATTAAGCGTTTCATTTCAAGAACAGCCTCTTTTTCCATGGCTGTCCCGACCGTCCGTAGCGCATGAAATTATTTGAGCGTATTTGGCTATAATTCATCGCAGGTGTCGACTCGCTGAGCAAGCAATTCGTGCGGCTCTGCGAATTTACGTTAATTTCCACGAGGCGGGCCACGTGCGCCGCTGTTCCGAAACGGAGGAAGTAGAAGCGGCCGGTTAAAGTCAGACAAGCGTGCGTATGCACCGCCTCCTGCAGCGAGTTTACTGTGTTCTCGGTCATAAGATTAAAGGTACGCCGTCAGATGAAACGCATGCTGTTTACAAACTATTACGGTCGGTATTACGGCTTCAGGATACGTCTGCGCGATTTCCATATATTGCTTTAAATTTATATTTTATTAAGTTTATATAGTTACACTTTGTTCTAAACGTTAATTAGTCCTAACATATTCTCCTGCGACTTACGTTAAGCATGTGTATTTATTATTAAAGCTGAATATTTAACGTTAAAACAAAGAGAGTTTGCGATGCTGCGTTATATTTCCCGAAGAGTAAATAAGAAGATTTATTCTCTCTTCGCATGAAATGGTACGCGGTTTGTTTGAATTTAAATTTATGTACTCGCGTGCGAAAAGAAACTTAAGTAAGGTTTTGTAACGTGACATAATACTTGTCAGGAAATGAGCTTAAGAGAAAAACGTCGGAAACGGCGACGAATTCGCGACGGCCATGAAATCTTCTCCTCTCGAGCGATACCCAAAAACTTTTCCGGACGCCAGACGAGTTATTTACACCGCAAGTCGCTCTTTTTTCAGCGCGGTTACACCCGCCCTACGGGAAAGTGCGAAAACGACGCGATACTTATACAAGGCAGGCCATAAAAGCCGCCATAAATTGCACCCTTGATAAAAGTAGTACTATATTTAATGCCGGCCACCCGCGGGTTACACCTGAATACGAATTCATTCGTCTTGGTAGCGTACATTTTATCCATAGAATACGACGCGGGTTCGAGAATCGCGCTGCTTTCGGCTTCGGGATTATAGCGGCATATTTGCCGCTGCTCGTGAGTTTCGTTTCTTATTCCCCGTGGAATCCAATAGGATCGACTCTGGCGAGTGTGACACCGCGATAGTCGTGAAACGTAAAGATTATTATATAAGCCGTTCTTCGATTTTATTCACTATGTCCTTAATAATAAAAGATTCTCCCACGTAAAAATTCTCCAACTGTAAAGTCTGCAATTTTTATATAGAAAAAGTAGATTCCGCAGTTTCATACAATTTTATACATACTATATATTGATTAATAATAGAATATAATTTTCTATCTTTAAACTGTTTTTATATATTAAACTTATAGAGTCAATCATTAATAGCAAGAAATTATTCTAATTACGATATATTTGAATATAATTTGCATAGATATATTCTATTTATTCTTTCACAGTTGCTGAAGTAAGTGTGATTTTTGTAGTTGCATGCAATAATTAAAAACACTGGATTATAAAAATACAAATTCCTATTTTCGTTATCTTTTTTTAATCAACATTAGAAATTTTAAACAATATGATTACAAAGTCAAAAACGTAGTAAATGGATAATGATGATTAAATTCAACTTTCCTTTCACGTCACACACACACACTCTATAAAGTAATATTATCTTGTTATTTGTAGACGTATATAAACTGTTAATGAGTGACTCAAAGGGTAATACGATCTAAAGATAGAGAGAAAATAATTTATAAAAAATGATTTTATAATATTTATCGAGCGAATTTCATGTAAAAAGCGGTCAATGTTAAATAGAAATTGCAATGCAATAAATGACGAATGTGAAACTATGCAGTACAGCTTTCAATCAAAAATTGATAGTTGTTGAAATCAAAACTCAAAATAACTCTTATTGAAAACTGTTTTGTGCGCAAAAAAAGCTATCTCGATTATTTTTACACTTCACAAGCATATTTTTCGCAAATATATTTATATTATTAAAGTTGATATATAAAAGACACATAAAAAAAGTAATTTCGAGAAAACATACAAATACATAGATTTAAATAAAAAATAATTATGCTTAAAATATATATGAAAAAATTTGTATGAGATGAAATAAATCATATTATATTATGCTTTTTTACTTTCTGTTAGATTTTAATGGCGAAAAAGGTATTTCTGTTCATCTTTCTTGTATTATATTGTTGGAAAGATGAAAGTTTCGCTTCCAGACAGAGAAGACAGATGTTATATCCACCGCCGATTGTCTATCCATACGGAGGAACATTCAAGGTATTTTGATCTCTCAATACACATTTTTTGCTTATAAAAGAAACCTCATTCCTTAAGTATATTAAGTATATATTAAAAATATTTTATTTTAATATTTTATTATTCAAATCTCAAATGTTCAGAGCGAGGTTTTCCGCGTCATATAATTGAAAAGGGAGTCCTGATTAATTTAGAAATTAATTTTTAAATAAATTTAGATATAAATTAATTTTTAAATAAATTTAGAAATAAATTAATTTTTAAATAAATGTAGAAATAAATAATTTTTAAGTTTTGCTGTGCGTATATTTAAAAATTTCGCCAAATATTTCTCTTAGAAGATCATCAATTAATTACGATTCTCAGAACTAATTCCGCATAGTTTAACTGTAAAAGTAAATCCTGAGTAAGAGTAAATCCTGTTCGAAGACACGTATTCTATGTCGCGGCAACTATCCTCCATCTAACAAGCTAATGACACTCCCTATCTTTAGATGTAGTAGATTTTCGTAGTTATCTTGTAGACTCGGTTTCGTCGGAATAAACTTTCCGTCTTGATGCTCAAAGAAACATTTCTTGAAGTTTTAGTTTAGATGCAGCTAGTTTTACACGTGTTCCACCGTCTCAGGATCAATCGTTAAGTGAAAATTTAATTTACGTAGTTTGGTGTAACATGATATCTTAAATATTGCATACTTTTAAATTAACAATTTAATTAAATTAAAAGGAATTAGGCTCTATATGTATTTAAACAACACGATAAGAAACTAGCGAATAAGAGCCACCGCGGATGGTAATGCGTAAATTTTTAATTGTTCGCGAAAATTTAAACGTGCACGAGGCATATGTTTCACTTGGTGTATTTATCAAGATATAGATTTTCATTTTTGAGAATTCTATAAAACTCCTTTTACCCCCCTGAAGAGATGTAGACGAGAATATAAAATATCAGCAAGCGAAAGACTCGGATTCGATTCCCGATTCAGCGACTTCACCCCGATATTTTTCTCGTCTACATCTCTTCAGGCGGGTAAAGGGGGTTTTATAGAATTCTCAAAAATGAGAATCTATGTCTTGGTAAATACACCAAGTGAAACATATGCCTCGTGCACGTTTAAATTTTCGCGAACAATTGAAAATTTACGCATTACCATCCGCGGTGGCTCTTATTCGCTAATTTAATTAAAATTTCTATAGATATTTAATTGTTTTCAAACTAAAGATATATTTTGCAAAAGAATTTATTATATGTATAAAACATATTAAAATAAAATGTGTTATGTTTAAATATTACAAAATATTAGATATTATATAATAATTTTATTATAAAATATTTGATTATAAAATTTTATTATATATAAAATATTATATAATAATTTTATTATAAAATATTTTATTATAAAATTTTATTATATATAAAATATTATATAATAATTTATACATATATAAATTATTAAAATATATTATCACATATATAAATTAATAATTTATATGTACACACGTTTTAATTTATAATAATCAAAATAAAAAAGAAAACAGCAGATTAGATTTTATTATCATCATGATAATTACTTATGATTAATTTATTATTTTAAAATTATTAAAATTCTAAACGAAAATTGCTGTCTTACATGTAAAGTCTTAATTTCTTTTACAAATTTATTTTAACTAACTCGATTAATGCATAGTAGAATTAAAAATAATAATTAAAAATAATTTCATGAATACAGAGTGCTGAATTATTTTTAAATACAAATTTAGCACAGCCGTTGATAATAGTGCTATTAATGTTTTTGACAGCGAGAGAATAAATTTAAATTGCGAAAATATTCCGACAGGATGTACGTTGCAGAACGTGATTGATAATTAACTGCATTTTTATTTGTGCCAGCAGCCACAAATTCTTTAATTAAATAGAAAAACTTTAGCCGTACTTTTCGCTCTCGCGGTAGATGGGACGAAGTTCGATGTCATGATGAATTGTTTGTTTTGATTTTCGCTGCCAACGAGAGAATCTCAACGATCTATCTCTCTCTCTTTTTCTCTCTCTTTCTGTCTCTTTCTCTCTTTTTTCTTTCTCTACAAAGGAAAAAATTGAACGGAAATTAAACGAAACGTCCATAAAATATCTGGTCAACGTATAATTTTTTTTCAATTTAACGTTATTCTCATCTTGTGTCGTCATATTTTAATTTTAATTTTGTATATGAAATAGATGTATTTTCTCTACAGATTACATATATAATAATAATTATTAATAAATAACTTTTAGATTACACAGCGATACATTTCACGATTGGAAAATAACTTGCCATATCGACTGTTAGATGGCTATAATTTTATAGTAGATACATATAAGTTATTCATAAATTTGATAATTACAAAAATTTATTGAAGAAGTCTACTTAAATTCAAATTGATGTCAATGTACAATCAATGCATCAAGGAATTATTAATTAAATTAAATTGTAGCAGCTTTTAATAAATTAAATTACATCGCTACATGTTTCCTAATTAACGATAGTATCAATATAATTCCTTTATAAAGAATAAAATAAAGAGTATGCTTTCGAGTAGTTTAATATTTCTCAGGTAATCGTAATATGTGGCCAGATGACGTGACACAGTATTTATACAATATGTTGACATATTGTGTAAACAATGTCGCTTGTAATTTTTCAGGTCTTTGGACTAATATCCAAGGAAGGCACGTTTATGATAGAACGTTGATGATATAACCTATTATACTACTACAGGCAGAAAGGGAAATTATAAACCAGTGATATCTGACTTCATTATAATTATTGTTAAAATTAACTGAGAATATAATGACTATCTATTTTATATATTTCAAAATTGTATGAGTGTATTTTTTTAATATTAGTTATTTATAATATTTCAAGAAACTAGTGAGAGAAAAAATGAATTTTGACAGTTTTATTTTTTAATACTGTGTATGCATTTCTTTTATGAATTGTATATATATTATAAAATATAAATGAACAGATTAAATAGAATATTAAATTATTATACATTTAATACAAAATTTTATAGTCAAATATTATTAGTTTCAATTGTGAAGTATTATATTTACAAGTTTATTTATTATAAAATTGCTTAATTTAATTATTACACTAGTGTATTAATAGTGCCTTGTATTTTAAATTCAAACTAATATCTATGATAATTTATATTTTAATACCATGTGATATTAATTTTAATTACAATTTTAAAGAGATAATCAAAATCAAGTTAAACATATAAGTTTATAGATTAATGTTTTGCTTCGATAATGATCAATATTATTTCGTTATAAAAATCAGATCTAGAATGTAAAAGCTTTTAGAAGTTAGTGATGATAGCATAACAAACATTTTGATGGCAGATAAGATGAAGCTCGATGTCGAATAGTTTATTTTGATTTTCTAAGAGCTCTCGTTGCTTCTTTTAATAAGAAAGAAATTAATAAATGGGAAATAAGAAATACAATAACAAAATAATAATGAAAATAGCAATATAGTTCCCCGACGTTAAGAAACAGAATCAGTGAAACGTTAGATGATTGAGTTATCATAAATTGATAAAATATTAAAGCACTTTCTTACTAATATTAGGAAAATATGAGAGAAATGCTAAAAATACGCGATGTTCTAGAATGGACTTTGACAGTAAAATATTGTTTGCATTTAATCTCGCTTTTTCTACCACTTTTCGAAAAGGAGAAATAAAAAATTCGTATGCACATAAAATGTAAAAGACAAATTGTATTCAGGTCAATGCACGTAGAAGGACATCGAAATGTACGGTATGTTGATAAAAGCGATGAAGCAAATCGACATCGATTGTTCGCGTTACTTATAACACGAGATAGTCGTTGTGCCCCCCTTTCGTGGAAAGAGAGCCTTTAATCCTAGAAGCAGCACGACAATTGTAAATATTTGAATGTTTGCTTTAAAACGTGAGCGATCAAAGGAGCAAAGCGGATTGAAGCGCGTTTCGGGTCACCGCGCGTGTAAACTCGCGGAAGAAATTATGTCGGGGTTTGATTGTGATTTGCGACGCGAGCAAAGGAGAGAAAGCAATGTCGGATAAATCTTCTTTTTCAATTCAGCGTTATTCTATGAGATATTACATCCTGTAAGTAATATCGTTCCAGCAAAAAATGCAACGAGTCGTGATCAAAGCCAGTTCGAATACATTTCACGAATGCCTCTGTTTTATTGCGTACTCGATGAAGCGATACAGGATTACAATATCCTTTAAATATCGCGAGGGAAGCTTGAAACTCTTGGTTCTGCGTACCAATTTAACAAGAGATGTTTGTATTTCTTTTGGAAATTGCTATTCCCGTCGCACGCTTTAACAAATGCGCAATATATCCGGAATAAAGGTAAATTCCCATGTAAACATTCGAGATTGTTGAAACAAAGCGCGTCGCAGTCGCTCACGAGAGCTCTGGAGATTCCTGATGTAAATGCATTCCGAAAATACGGCAGCTCGCGGAGATGCTGCGGATGCAGTTTTGCTTTCGTTTTTCCCGGGAAGATATTTAGAAAAGGAATATTGATCTTACCTCATCTTCATTTCTACAAGTAGCAAGATGCAATCGGTCCATCTCTCGTGGGAAAATTCAGATTTTATCGATCTATACCTAGGTAGCGAAAACGTTGCACAATTTATAGATAATAATGACAATATGAAGCGAGAGATATTTGCGATGCAAAAAAGTCAATCGAGAAAAATAAGAAAGACTTATATATTATTTAATAAATAGCGATATATTCAAAAACCGATTTATTTTTTTAATCATAAATATTTTAGTTAACATCGATTTTTCTTTAGCAAAGATATCGATGCATCCTTTAATAATTTTAGACATCATGTGTAAGTTATTTTTAAAATTTCGCATAAAGCAAGCTTATTTAAATATAGTGCACGGATATGATGAAAAATGTTCATCTTTTTTTGTTTCTTCTTCATCTCATTCAATGAGACAATAAAGGAAAAGAAGTTGTTTTATTTGATGAAGATAAACTTGGACAAAAGTCACATTTAAAAGGAGCACATTTAAAATATAAAATATCAAAAGGAACACATTTTAAATATAAAAATTATTTTAAATGCTTAACTGCGCGTTATCAAAAGAATAATAATTCAGATTTTATGTTGAGAACAGAAAAGGAAATAATAGCAGAATGTATTATAAAGAAAACAAGTGTTTTGCAACTCTACAAGTAGAAATTTTTAATTATCTCTTCTAAAAACAGTTTTTACATGTCTTTTTCGACAAAAAATTTGTTAAGTAAATATTCTTGTTACAATTAGATATGCAGCTGTTGAACGTTTGTAAATCGTGCAATGCGTTCTACAGCAACTTGAATAAATCTGAATTTGTTATATATATATATATATATATATATATATATATATATTAATAATATATTATAATATGTATTAAATACATAGTATACTTGAATAAAATATTAATTTATATATGCATATAATATTTTAATATTATTAATAGGTAATATTTTAAATATAAAATAAATATTTAATTAAAAGGACATTATTAGAATTTAAATTAGAATTTAAAATGTTATTGTTAATATTCTTATAATGTTTCTCAGGAAGGGGAGAAGCGCCAAGTAATAACATAAAACTGGCAGTGCATCTTGGCAATGTTGACTTTTGCATAAATAATACGAGGTATCTAAGCAAAGTACGCCTCGCGCGTTATAAAAACTAATGCGAGAGAAAGGACAGGTTTGGCGAGTCGCCAGAGAGTTGTATGTAGCTTCTCTGTCATCTGCAGGTTGCGAAAATAGCATAAGGATAGAGATCTTCCCTTGGGGGATGGCCATCAAAATATCGCAACTGAAAAAGATTAGTCGGGAAAATTAATTTCAAAAACGCATGAGAAATATTTCCCTCTAATTTTCCACATTAGTATATATTCATTAGAAACCTTCGCATACATTTTCCGTTATTTCGTAAAACGATACACATCGATACCGTGATATCTTGCGAGCTCTAAGGCTCTATGAATCTAGCTTTCTTCCTCGCTCTTTTTGAAATGCAATCTCGTGTCTCTTCTCTCGTATTTATTCTGGTCTCTCATCGATCTTCCCGGAAATGTACGAGCTGCGGTCATCGACGGTCCCGTCGATGTCGTTATTGATACTCTTCGCATTTCATCCCTTTTTGCTTCTTGGTCGAGCTAGGTCGGATTTGTGCTTCCCTCCCATTTCGCGAGATTGATTTACGACAGCGCGTAATCTCTAAAATGAATTCGCGAGTCCTATCCCGCCCTATCGCGGTCAATTTCTTTCCTTACGGCTCGAACTGCCGCGCATATGAAATTTTATGTTTATTACAAGATGCCATCACGAGAGAGCGATGACATCAACTTCCTCCGCTGAGGCTACGTTCCCTTCTTTTTCCCGGCGCGCTATCACCCAAGAAAATCACAAAATTAATTCTCGTCCACTTCCTGTTCCTCCGCATCTCTTTGGTCTATACTTTTTCGAACGAGCAAGACAACTACTCTTCTTCTTCACGCGACGCATATTTTTTATTCTCCAACCAAGTTCAGAAAAGCTCTTGCTTTTATCTCGATCGCTCGAGATAGATCTTTTATATTTTCAAGGATAAAAGAAAAGGAAATATTTCAAGTGCGCGAGTTCGCAAGATTCTTTAAGCTTCTGTAGAAATGTGCGAACTTGTTTACTCTATTTCGTGGTTATCTTGTTTGGAATTTCGTGGCGTTATTTTGTAGAACATTTTGTAAGAAGTTGTCGCTCATAACATTTAATTAAATATTGTTTAATATTGTTTTTTTAAATTTTATTAATTTATGTTTTTAAGCATTCATTCATGTTTTTTTAAAAAAGGTTTTTTATTTAGATTAATCTATTAAAACATTTATATATGTAATATATATATATATATATATATATATATATATATATAAATGACTTTAAAGTATCATATTAAAAATGTCTTAATTATATATATTTTAATTATATTTAAATTTAACATTTAAGTAATAAATGATGTATTAGAAATGACACTATAAGTAACTTCTAACCGTATCTAATACTTCTGTGTAATACTATTGCGCAAATATATTTGTGTGCATTGTATTTGCTATAAGCTCGTCGTGGGATACGCGGTACCTGTAGAACTCTCGGGCAGAAATGTGGTTTATGGACAGAATTTTCAGTTCCAATATGTTTTGCCACAGAACGCGACGTTCTTCACAGAGTTCTTCGAAAATTCATCACGACGACGTCGCAAAAGTGTTAATTGGGATGAGAGGATGACTATTTACAGGCTTTTAGAGGAGGGACTTGAGACGTGAGAACTGTTTCTCTCTTTTGAATTTGCGCACTGTAGATGAACATGATATCCGAAATGATAGCATGAAAATTTGCATTGTTAAGTGCATATTAGATGCGTCTCGAATGATCGTAAATTAAATCTAAAAAGACGCACAGAAATTCGAAGAAATAATTCAGATATTTTTCGAGAGATGATTATTCACGGAAAAAGTTTCATTTTTTTAATACAAATATTTTTTATATACATATTTATCAATCAATTAAAAAATATACATATGTTGACTTGTTAAAATATTACATATGTGCATTAGAATTGTGTTTTATTTTTAACTCATTTGATTCTTTACCATCAATAAAATTGTCAGTGTGGTCGATTTTAATTACGTCTTTTATTTTATTTACTGGCGACTTTCAAGAATTTAATGTTATTTAACTTATTTATTTCACAAAATTGAAATGTGATATTGTAATTAAATATATGTATATAATTAAATTTTTTCTACAATTTATAGAAAAAGAATAAATGGAAGAGAATGCATGAAAAAAAGCATATGCGAAGCAGCGATGATGTCATTACAGGATGAAGGACTCGTGGGAGAATTATTGCATCTCTTGCTCACGTAAAAAAGAAATTTTAATTTTTATATTTTTGTGTTAACATTTTTATATCATTATATTTCTTCGAAGATTCCGAAATACAAAGTTTATTAATTTTAGGCCTCAACAAGAAAATAATTCCTTAGATTCCGAATACTTAGAGGCGCTGAAATTTGGACAAAGAAATTATGATTGTTCGCTGATTTACCCATTATGTCTGTCTGGTCAAGGAATTCTGGATCAAATCTCAAAAGTGATATCATAGAAAATTATAATATCCAAAAGCAAGCTCCAAGAATTAATTGCTCTGACAATGACAGAAAAATCTTTACTTTTAAATATTTTTCTGTTATATATATAAAATATAAAATACTAATCATCGAAAATAGTAACTAAAAATAATGGATTTATACATACAAATAAAACAAGCTGCGTATTATGAGAAAAATCTAAGATTAAAAAAAAATAAATATATGATTTTAAATATGATCTATATTTTTATAGTTAAAGTTAAATTATAGACTATTTATCTTTATATGTAATTAAAGTATTATATACTATTTATTTTTATATATATTTATATATTTATCCAAGAGAAAAAAAGAAACAGTTTTTTTTAATTTTTATTATCTCTTTACAAAGATATAAATTTAAATTTGTCATTATTATTAAAAATTACCAAATTTCCTACAATTTTCCAATCAATACATTTAAGATAAATTAAAAATTGCTTTGAATCGATAATTTAATGCCATACAAAATTTAATTCTTGAACGATAAAATTAATTTTCAAATCTTATAATTTCGATAGATGATTTGAAATAAATATTAATTTATCACTCATATTGTTTTTTGCTCCATATTTTACTTCATATACGATAATAATAAAATATATAAGATATATATGTTAGATAAAAAGTCAAGGAATATTATTCTTATCGAAAATTAAAATAATTTTTATTGTCAAAATTTAATTTTATTGCGGCGATTTTAAATATATTAATTTTTAATTTAATATTCTGTAATTTCTTTCTTTTTTAATTATGTTAAACACAATCAATATTTCCATATAACAATTCAAGATATGCAAAGTAGCAATCTTTCAAGATAAAGCAAACTAACTATGTATTACGCAAATATAGAGTAACAACTAAAAAACTTGACACTTGTGTACAATGACATGAAATTGAGTTAACGTTATCATAGGCATTAAAGTCAACACAAATGATGTCGTTCAACTAACGTGGTCTAACAAAAATAGAACGTATGGCACTTTGTAGCACCTCTTGTGAACAGTATTACGTGCTTACGGTCGATGCACAAAGAGCGATCAAAAATTAAAAATCGAAAATTGAATAAGTGCAAAGAATACATAGCTGCAATACCCTGTTACAAATATTTACTATAATAACAGTGAAATTTAATACTAAAATTTTGGATTTTTTTACATTTATATCTATGAATTTTATAAATTTATTATTTATTTTAAAAATAATAAATTATAAAAATATATTATAAAAATAAATAATCATTATAATTACAATAATAAATGATAAAAATTTGCAAAATATTTTAGTGTAAATGCGTATGTAATTAATATTAGCAAAATAAAATGATTAAATGATTCTTTAATTTTCTTTTAAATATCATTTAAATAATTACATATTTGCTTCTAGTTGAAAGAATAATGTATACATATTTATGATTCGTTTACAATGTTTAATGTTTCGCCGATTAATTTATTTGTATTGAGCCGGCCCAAAAATAGAATGAAATTGAAATGCAAATGAAGGAAAGGATTTGCGATTGATTCATCAGTTACACTCGGGAAATTCGTCGCGCAGAAAATCATTGTTTAGTTACGCTCGAGTTAAATTAAGCATAACCGGTGTATCTCACGCATTTAACACGTTAACCGTACGTAAAATTTAATGAAGGTGACAACCTAATTCTGAATCATATCGCAAATAATTCGCTATTCGAAATGCAAGCATGAATACGCGACGAATACAGTTAGGTGTGTTACTCGCGAGACTGATAATTGATCGGAGACGCGTAAAAGTCAATGTGTCCTTTAACGGCAATAGCTTTCGCAGTTACACTCGGTTGAAATTAAGCGACCGAGTCTTGTATTTTGCGGAATTAACGCTAACCAGGTTCCCCATAATTCGCGAACGAGTCGGGCGAATGTAAGGAGGTTGAAAACAAGTACAAAGGTAAGAGGAAGTTGCCCGGCTTACGCTAAACGTTAGTACGAGCGATCGTAGTAGTTATTCGAGGTAAACGTGTCGGTGGATTCTGGCGTAAAGCGTGTCACGTCGGAAACTCCGACGCACAGAACTCGAAACGGATTTCACAATATAACTTTGTCCTGAGAACTCCTCGGCCCTGGTGAATCTCCGTCACCTACCTCCTCCCTCTCTAGCTTCCTTCGACCAAGTAGCGAGATAGTGCTGATTATGCGCCCGTCATTCTCCAGCGCTGTCTACTTCATCTTTCTTGCAAACTTGGGGTTCGCGCATTCCGGAAGGCCGATCAGGGCCCTAGCCTTCCGTAAAGGTAGCACTTTTTTTGTAAGTATCACATGACATTCTCTTTTTTTCTCTCCCTCTTTGTCTCCTTTCTTTTTTTATTATAAGCATATCATATTATAAGATTTTAAGGGAGATATCTTTTATCACTAAATATGTCGGTTATTCATTTTTTTATTAGTTTAATTTTCTATGATTTGCTAATAATACTATCATTTAAGGGTGGATATTTAGAATTTAAAATTTCACCGCAAAAATAACTTTATATATATTTCAAACAAAAAGTTGACACAATATAGAATAAATATTTGAAATCTCATCACAAAAAATTATAAAAAAATAAAAAAAATTTTATTTATTTTCGGTTATGAAATTTATACAAAAATAAGAAAAATAAGAAAAGTATTTTACATGTCTTTTAACCAAAATGTTGATAAAGTTGTAGGATGAATAAATTGCATAAAAGTAAAAGATAAATAACTGCACAGAAAATTATTATACGAGAATTTGTTTAAAATTGAAAAAATTAAAAAATAACATGCAGAGCTGGTGCAAAATAACGCAAAATGTTGAAAACTAATTTGTATCGTAAAACATTTGGTTCGAAAAAGTTAACAAATGTTAAATTGATAATTTACTAAATTTTGACGTTCTGGTAGAAACACCACCGATTTCACAATTTTTTACATTCGCGAGGCAAATCGTAATACAAAAATTATGAGTAAAAAGCTGTCAATGATATGTCGGACGTTATCTGTCTTATTGTTAGAGAGAGTTACTGAATAAGCTGCGATAAAAAATGAAGCGATACAATTATGGTGTATGTAAACTGATGTAATCTAATTAATGTTTGTGTATCGAGGCTATTTTCAAATATATGACCAGCAATTTAATATTACAAATAAAGATTACAATTACATTTAATTTCTAACTAAAGATGAATCAAATACTAAGTCCACAACGGTATAAAAAAGGCAAAGATTGCAATATTCTTACAGAATATTTCGCAAATGATTGTTCCGCTTTGACTCTCTAAATCGAAATTCTAACACGTGGCGGATATTACCGTACATTCGAAATGCGTAGTTCGATTTCGTGATACCGAAAATATCGCAGGGACACTTTTCTGAAATACAATGTATATATTTATATATATAAATGTATTCCGCCCGATCGAACTGTCGCTCGAAGAATATTATCGGAAAATATTATTTTGCATGTACATTGTACAGTAAAATAGAGGGGATGATGGATATATCATTTTAAATTAATTACATTCTCATTATTCTGTTGGACGAGATATGCGAAAATGTATTCATCCGACGAAGAGATTTGCGGAATTTTTTACGCAAATTTCCGCGCGCGCAGCAATTTGCTCCGATTATTTCGGTTTGCCTGCCATTTATTTTTGTACAAATCGCATCCTCTCTCTATTTCTTTGTTTCTCTCTCTCTCTCTCTCTCTCTCTCTCTCTTTACGTCGGTCGCTTTTCCCGAATTTCGATATTCAAATGCAATGAGGTGTTTGCTTTTTTCGTCTTTCATGAAACAGCTGTGTGCGCGCACAAAATGCGAGAAAATAGAAAATATTCTCCTCACCTTTCGTAATTTATACGATTTTGCATCCTTCGTCAAACGTAACGCGAATAAATCTTATTTTTCCTGTTATATAACACCTCTGAGACTAAACTTTTGCTTGTTGGATCGCAATAGGTTTATTTTTGACAGCAATCGGTGCGAAGCTGTGAGCAGTATCTTTTGAAACTGTCAAACTGAAATATTTCCTATTATATTCTCTTTAAATTGTTCATATTGAAAATAAAAATACACAACGAATTTATTTCTCATTAACACGAAAAAGAAAATTACTGAAATGTACGTTTCAAATATTGAAAAAAATATATATACAGAATAAGAAATCTATACACGATTGTGCGAATAATTAGAAAAATCTATCCTATGATTCAGCATCGTAAATCCATCATAATTTTTGATCATATTATAATTAATTGGAAATTATTTCGAAACGTGCGTTTGGAAAAAAGTGCGGCCACGTTAGCCGATACCAATTATTACATTTTATGGAATGTAATAAATTGGGGTTCTCGCGCGGTATTAATGAAAATATGCGAATTAATTCTATCTCTGGGATTATGTGCAGGAAATACAGGAAGAGGAGGAGAGCGTAAAGTAGATGAAAATCCATCTATTTCACTTCCGTAAAAAAAAAAGCATCGCTCGCAATTTCGTGTATTAAAGGAACATGATGCATCAATGGCGGGTAAATGGATCGCTCGTTCGAACAGGTCGTAAAAAGCCACATAAGAATCAATGTTGAATAACATCCGGTATCATCCGTGCCGGCGCATAACATGCCACTGTTTATGCAGCGTCTAGTGTGGTAAGAGAGAGGAAGAGAGAGAGAGAATGAGGGGGAGAGAGAGAGAGAGAACGAGAGTGAATTTATGTCCTATATGTACACGAGACGCGCTATAATATAAATCGATCGGGACTACGTCCGTATTTTCACTTTAAAAGGCACGAAGCCACCGGATGGCAGGCATATTTTGAAGCACGATGTAGCGCGGGCCATTAATACGGGATGAGGCTTGCGCGTTCTCTGCGTTTCCGTACGATAAGTACGAACGAAAAAAAAAAAACGAGATCCAGATCGATGAAAATTTATCGGCGGTATCGCGAATGTGCGGAGAGTGCAATGTTTGTCGAAACGCTCAGAACATACTAGTGTCGAAATTGCAACGCGATGTGAACGTCGTCTGCTTTCGTGTTTATTTTCGCTGTCGCAATGCACAGCACGTTACTCCTCTCTATAACGTGATCATATTTTTTCGAATATTTTCTCGATACGTTTATATTTAATAATGTCTTTCAAAATACGAGAATTGCACGTCCGTACGGTTTGCATTGACGAGACGAAGAAAGATTCTGATTTATAGAGATGATATTATATAATAAATTGCTCTTCGAAACGTTAGAATTAAACGCAACGCAGAAGGGAATATGTATATAGTCTTTGTTCTCTAAAATAGCAGGTGTCTCTTCGAAAGATGCGAGCGTTTGAGCCAACTTGTATGAAGAATTATTCAACCCGTGATGATCCGGTGCACTTACGACGAAGTGCATCGCCGTGTTTACCATATACATTATCTGATGTACAGAGCAGGACAGGGCTTAGGATCAATATGCATGAATCAACGTTGTCTCGTTACAACCCGTTTAGATATAGCGTCGTATATACGGCTACACTTCACCGATTATTCTGACACTCTATTATTTATGCTCATAAAAAACACTACATCAAATTCTTTTTAAGAAAGTAACGTTGAAGAATGTCATTGTGCAACGAAAAATGCAATCATGAGCTTTGTGACATGTAAAAACTGCATAAAAGCATAAATTTGATTGCATTTGAAAAATTTATCCATATCATTTCGTCCATAAGATAATGATTTCAGTTTTGAAATAATATAAATTCTAAAAAACACATGCCAAATCATATAAAAAAATTTAGTTCAAAAGTTTGACAAAGTTCGATAACAAAATTGATATATGATGCAAAGACGATACACTAATGTGCACACATACGCATCAAACATTCGCTACATAAGTCATTTTGTCATCATGTGTTTCGGATACTTAGTTTCCCCTTCAGAATAAATCTTCCAGATATGAGGCCTCCCACAACATCAAAATATACCTGTTGGGAGCGTTTTATCCGTGAAAAATCATGTAGCATGAAAATAATATACTCCAAAAAACGAACATCAAACTTGTTGATCAATTTCTATCTCTCTCATCGCTGTAAAATATTCTCTTAATTTTACAATAAATTATAAAAATTACATATACATCATATTATATAAAAATTACAAATTAATAATAAAAATAATATAAATTTCGAATATTTTGTTTGATATATTATCGATTAATTATTATAATTTGTGTACATTAACATAAATTTCAATACGATAAATATATACACAAAGAAATAATTATCGTATTGAAAATATGTCAATATAACGGAACGAATTCCATCTTTCATTTGCTTCAATTTTCACTTCAAATAAATAAATTGCGCGAAATATTTGTGTCGATAAATAACTGTTGATATATTTACAAATCTTTAATCGTCAAGTGAATTAAACGCATAAGTCAATTGATCTCTATAAAATGTTATTTTCTAGAGAATAATTCATCTTCCGTATCTATCTTTTAAAGTTGTTACAATAAATGCGCAAAGTCGTGCGACCGTCACGTTTCCCGTCCATCTAGTTTCTTATCCTCCTCCCTGCAAGTCCGAGAACGCGTTTTGGAAACGGTAGAGCACTGCCGGAAAATTATAGCACATGCACATACGTACACACATGCAATGCGATCCAGCGCACATACATATTTCGTCTCGATGGGCTGGCGCGAGGGGCGCATAAATCCGATCGCCTTATCGTATTTTCGGCCGTTAAGAAACAGAGGTGGTAAGGTGGCGGGATGCGCGCGTCTGACAAACGGCTTGCCAGATCCAGGCGACACCATCCTTCCGTCGCGTTTACACGGGAGAAATACCAAGACGCGATTCACGCGCTGGTTAATAGGCGCCGCGAAACCGGCACGGTTTCCATTCGTGGCAGCTTCTTGCGCGAGAAGGAAATACGTCGAGGAGATCAAGCGCGATTCAGAATAGACGCACTAGTGAATAACCAGTTGAGAACTATTGTTAGATAATTCAGTACGAACGTCTTGTTGTATGCGACGTAGAATATTCTATACTTTGAGGTCTACTATCTTAAATTTCACGACGAAATAAGACCCTTGTTGCCCTTTAACTCGAGATTTCAATAGTTTTCCGCCAACGATTTATGTATAAAATTTACATATAAATTGCTGTTATATATTCAGCATTTTCAAATGAAAGAGAATAAGAATGAAGAAAGCGAAAACGTCTCACACATACACACACAGTATTAGAATAAAATTTACAAAGTCTCGCAAATATTTTTCTGTATTTTTAGGACAAGACGATGAGAACTTTCTCTGCGAAAGAGATCGATAAAACGGCACGGGAGATTTCCTCGATGTATTGTTTGCGAGGATAATGAAGGAATAACTCGTAAGAATCGCGACGACGCGGAGACGTGATTTTACGATAAGTGTCACATTATTTATGGATGAACATAGAGATAAAATCGCTAAGGGTCATTCTTATGGGGAAGAAGAAAATTATACGTGACGCAAAATTACAGTGTAGCATTAGAATGAGCTCTTTTTGCTTTAGGTAGAGAAATAATTCGCAATAGAATAATTCGGATAAGACGAAAATCGGGTTTTCCCGATAATATTGATGGCGAATTGAACGGCCGATCGGAAATTCAAGAAATCTCTCTCTTAGGAAGATTACGGCGAAATTTCATATATATTCCCGCAATCCTTTGATACAAAGTTATGATCGGATTCCGCAGGTGAAATTTCGCGCGATTTCTTGCAATTCTACATCCCTTATTCTTTTGATTCTGTTCTTCAAGTTTTTTTATGCATGCAGAGAATGTGTGAAAATTTATTTAAAATTATTTTACTTACGATATAACAATCGAATAAATTAAATTGTAAACGTTCGGTAACTGTATCAATTGAATTATTCGACTATCTATTCGATTCCAGTTTATTTAGACACGTGGACATTGAATAAAATCGAGACACTAAAATATATTGATACTAAAATATTTAAATATGTCTCTTCGGATTATTCTCCCAATTATTTTAAGCCTTTAGCTGCGTCATCTAGAAAGGGTCATGCGAGAACTTAGATTCTTGTTTGGCCGACACAGGAACGAGATTTAAAATAACTTCAGAATTCACGATGAATAAATGATCTTTCGCAGTATCGGCTGAACTACAAGATAAACTCACTCCCTTACACGACCATCTTCGCGCAAGCGTCGGGCTTTAAGACAACATGGCCACTGCCGACCACCGGCGACTCTCGCAACATCCGGTCCGTACCTGAAATTCACGAGCGCGCCGAGCTCGTATACGAAAGGTAATAAATACTGTATAAATAGTTACGCTGCATAATGTAAAAATGTGTGTGGTGGCAATTGCGAGGGAGCGGGAAAGATGGCGAGGAATGCGATCCGTGGAACAGTGGTCGGGGGTCGGTCAAGCGGTTAAAACGAGGGTAGATGCGGGAATGTATTTCCGGCCGACTGACCGAAGACATCCGTTGCCAGCGGAATCGCAGGCAATCGTCAGTGGTACAATGCCGTTTTCCGTATATTGACTTTCACAGTAGTGGCCGCGATTTTATAGGCACAATCAAGGAAACTTGATAGAAACTTAATTGAATACATTTTCAACACTGAATTAATCAACACGAGGGTAATTAAAATAATTAAATAATTGAATTAAATGTGACTCCGCAATAAATTCCTATGATAATAATTATTTTTCCATAATTTTAATTTCTTTTCAACGAGATTTTAACGAGATTTTCATTGGATTTATTAAATCATCATTCCTCGATATCATTAAGAAATATCATGCATTCGTTCCAATATCGTAATTATTATGATTGAATTGAATTTATTAATTGTAACTAGAACTTTGATTTTATCTCGATAACAAATATTTCTTGTATTTAAATAAATTGATCAATTGCGATAAATGTGTTTCAGTCATGGTTTCAATGGTCGTTCTTGCTTGCTGAAGAATGTCTGTCAAACATTACAATACGCGAAACAGCAGGACGGCGTTATAGGAAAGATATTAAAATTATTCGCGAGGTAAATTACTGAAATATATAAATTTTAATTACATTGTTGTATTAATCGTTTTTCATTGCTTTCAGGTCGTACATTGATAATGATACTTGGCACGAAGATCCGCTATTCTGTGAGCGTCATTCCAAGAATTGCCCTCTGGAATTAATCGGATTTAATAGTTTTACGGAAAGCTAAACATTTCTCGGAGTATCAGAGAGCGCAAGTTAGCAAGTAATTATTTATTTACTGCAAACAAAACAGGTATACAATAATATATTGTAATGTAATTATTTCTACAAAATTTAATATTCTATGTAATAAATATTCATATATTTCTACTATTGCATTGTTAATGGATAAAAAGAAATGTCGCTTGTTGGCGACATTTGAATATTATGATGATTAATAATGATATTGTAAATAATGAATGTTAAAACTGGAGTGACATTATTCAAGAAACTGAATAAAGTACATAAATATAGTTATGTGTGTGTTTAGCGCAATATAAAATTGTCATCATGTCGGCCTGGAGTTGCTAGTCGTTTTTGTAAGAGATTCCATTTTTCACATTGAAATAAGCACGGACGTTATAAAAGCTTGAAGACCTGCCCCATTCCTACGTGATTGTCCCTACAGTTATCACTAGATGACACTGTGAGAAATGACAGCGGTTAATGAAACATTTGTCACGCTGCAAAACCGCACTCGAATTATTCCGGGGCACCGGACACGGCAAGCGATAAAATATGGTGGTACGTCAGCCGACTAAATGTAGTAAAAATATACGTTTAGCTCTAAAGACCGGGAAAGAGGGAGAGAGTGGAGCACGTATTACAAAAAATGAGCGAAAGGATATTTCTACCGGGCGTTATATACGGTCCTCAGCGCCATTAATTTGTCTTCGTATAATGGCTACCGTGAAAAAAAATATTTCTCGTTTTCATGCATTATTCTTCCTCTCTTCTCCCTCTTCCTTTTCTGTCTTTCTTTTGCGTATCCTTTGCCTGTCACGTTCCGCGACAGGACGATTATAATTGCTACTCACGAGCAGCGCTGGTCCAGTTCCAACGAAAAGCATTAATTTGGACTATCGCGCGACTATCTGGCAATTAAAAAGTGCCCCACTTTACATTCGCCATTTGCCAACGCAAACACATATTATTCAGGAGTCAGGCTACAATTGCTGACTTACAATTACGCTGATGAGCTAAAGTCGCAGTATCTAAATAATATGATAAAAAGATATTATATTCACGCATGTATGTCACGCATAATAAAAAATCACGTAAAGAAAGAATTACTCGTCTTCATAAAGCTTCTTCGATTTTAACTTTAATTATTTTCTAAGTTTTATGTCTTAAGCATTCATTGTTTGACTATTGATTGTAAACATTTATTTGAAAATATATTTAATAGATAATTGTTATAATTAATTAATTTTTTGATTACAATATATATTTAATACGTGCGAATTTTTATACTTTATACAATTACTTTAGTAGTTAAAAAATATTTTAAAATATGTGAAAATAATATGAAATACGTTTCCTGTGTCACCCTTACGGAGCTGCATGCTAACAAAGAAACCATTTTCCGTAAATACGTATTTTTAATTGCTGTGCATTGTTGTTCCACGATGAATCCCGTGACATAGACTATTTCATTATAAATGTATACGGCGTTGTAAGATTGCTTTATTAGCAGTAAATGAATTCGCAATGTAATTATTTCCCTCCATAATGAAGGGTTGCATTAAAATAAGGACATCAAAGGTCAGTTATCCGATGCAAGTTTTAACTATTAATTTCAGACTACCGGTAATTTATAAATTGCGAGAAATTTCTTCTTATATTTATCCCCAAGTGAATATATTATAACAAAGGTAAGAAACAGAAATTTTGGGGCGCTGAAACTTTTATTTAATTATGAATCTACGACCCAATGAATCATATGATTTCTAAAGATTCACGATATATAAGAAGTTACGGAAATCAAAATATTTCTGAGCGAGAGTTTGAAATTTCTATTTCTTTCAAAATTATTAATCAAAGAACTTACGACGTCGAACAGCTTCGATACATTTCTGCAAATAGAAAAAGAAAGAAGATTATGAAACATTTCTATTTGTAAATAAAGTACAGGTTATATACTCCATCGAGAGAACATTATTGCGTCGAAGATCAGTGAGGGAAGCGCAGAAAAAATCTCTCTCCTACGCACCTTTTCCACGGTTTGCGTGCCGCAATTGCGGTAACTTCCATTATGTACATTGGGATCGAGTATACGTTTCTATTCCCCACGGGAGCTTCACCGACGAGATGCTCCAGCCAACGATCCACGTACAATAAAATCAATCTGCGATCGTTTCGATGAACCGGCGGGATAAAACGCAAATGCGAGCCGCGATGCCACCCTTTCAGAATGTTCGTCCCCGTTTCTCTCCGCGTTATTATCCCAGTGGAGGATATCGTGCCGGGACTGTCGCATTCCAGGGGAGAACGAGTTATAATTGCATACGGTCGCGGTCCCGGTGGGCCGCGCGTTAACGAAAAGCATTAATTTAGAATGCCCTGTGGTTTTCTTGTCAGAAAACCGGCCACGCGCGCAACTCCCGTATGCAATTAACGGAAAGCGTTATGCGCCTCCGTCGCAATGGCGACACAGAAATCGCTTCGAGGAAAGAGAGAAAGAGAGAAAAAAAAAGAAAAAAAGAGATACGTTAAAGAGCCTGGCTTTGTCAAGCTTGATCCACGCGAGCGGGTAATATTACGTGGTTGGCGATGCCGAGTTGACACGGTATACAAAAAGATTCAGGGCCACGGTGGATGTGTGCGAGAGGGATTCGCTGATAGCAGCGGTTTGCCAGAGATAATGAAGGGTTGAAAGGGCGCGACGGTGAAATGGACTGGAAAATCCCAAGTAAAATTAAATGACAATCTCCTCCGAACTGCTCATCTCGCTTATTTATTCCGATATTTCGCATCTTTGTGCGGGCTTCCAGTTCGTACGCTTTATAATTATATGCAAATGTATTTAATAGGCGATAGAATCAGTTATATAATTCTTGTGGTAAAAATAAATTAATTATACAGATAATTTTTAACATTCAAATAAAGAATGAATCACTTTTGATTTATCTTGTACAGACAATGTATCATTTCATAAATAATGTTTCGTATATGAAAGAATTAATTAATAAAGATAAGCATAAATATCACGTCATGACGAAAAGAATTAAAGAATACAAACGCACAAAATTTAAAAGAATTTGCACATTGTTGATTTTTCAATTATCTTTTAATAAACGTAAGAAAGAAATTTAATGAGAGATAAATTAACTTTGTATTCCGATGGGATAACTCGCTTGAACACTGTAAAGCTTTTTATTGCATGGAGCGCAATATGTATCGGTCTTCTATCAGCAAATTAAATATTCTAGCCTTTAATTAACAGAGTATTCGAGGAATCTTTGAGAACTTTAGAAGAACGTAGAATGTAATTATCGACTTTCCGTCCACTTTCTTAATTGCGGATACAATTTGTGGACTTGTATTCGCACGGGGATTTACACACACTCACACTGCGTGGCTGCATTTTACTTCAGAGTAAAAGTTCTTAACGATATGCGAAATACTCGAGCAACTATCAACTACAGTAAACATACATGAGTCGAGATGCAGCTTTGAAATTTTCGCTAAATTATTAATTATATAAAATATGTATGTGTATAGCGTATTCATTAATTATTGAAATTCTCTCCTGCTTAATAGTTGCTTTTGCATCAAAACAAAAAATGCTTGTTTTTTATATTATTTTTGTCATCATGTAATGTAATTTACGTAATCTCACGTATAAAGTAATTTATTTGTAAATTTAATTTTTTTAAATTTATTATTATTTATTATTATATTATTAAAGAAAAGAAGAGAAAGAAAAATAATTGTATTTGTGTTATATGGATAAAATCATACAATCATTTTTAAAATGATTCTGCTGTATTCTCTATGTATATGTATATATGTATATAACTTATTATTATAAACATAAATAATAATTTTTTATTAATATTAGATATCGATGAAAAATTTCTCACAACTGAATTTTCCTCAATATCTCTTAAAATATTAAAAACAAAAACATTACAAATGAGATTTTTATAATATCAGATTAAATATTCAATTATAATTATTAGTATAACACATTTTGATATATCTCGAAAAAGATCGTATTTAATTTATTATTTATATATATGATGGAGGGAATATGCTTTCGGATAATTTCACATATCTTTGGGAACAACCTCTGTATATCATTAAATTTTAAATTACGTAAGATTACTAACAAATAATGTTTGTAGTAGAATACCTTTTACATATGATAAAATTGCAAGCTTAATTCGATAAAGTGTATACTTTTTAAAATAAAAGTTTTTAAGAAACATTTTAAGCTTATTGACTAACGTTTAATGACTTTATAATGAAGCAATAAAAATGATTTGATATGTATTAAAAGGAAGTAACTATTGAATATCCATTTTGTAAAAATAGTAAATTAATAAATTACTACAAGGCATCTTGAAATTTTGTAACTGATAGGCAAGTTTGGAATTTGGCCGCCAGATGGATATAATTATATATTCTAAAATAATAATTTAATAATTACAAAAGTTTATTCAAAAATCTCATATTAATATTTAAATATTGTGGACAGTCGCTGTCAAACAATGAAATTTAATAACTTTAGAACGAATTTAAGTTAAAAATATTAATGTACTGCTTCAAATCTTCTCGATAGCGATCATCTTTAATACAAGTACTATATAAAGCAGAAAGGTCGGATTTGTGTTCGGATAGTCTGATACTCTCTCTGGAAACACACATCTTATTAAGACAGTACACATACTTAGTTTTTAAGTTTCTTAGCGAAATATGGTTAGAATGTACTTCGTACGTGATTTATTATCGCATTTAACTTTATTTGTTAAAGTCTATATATACACTTTACGGATAAAATTAAAAGAAGAATTCTAAGCATATATTTGCTCTTATCAGGACAATAAGCAACAGAAAGCAATAAACGGAGTGCATGTGTATCTGCACAATGTGGTTAGTGATAATAAAGTAATAATGATTATCTGTGATTAATTATCTGTGATAATTGTCTGTGATTAATCATCTGTGATTATACATTATCAATCACGGAAGAAGTAACGTTGATTATCTATTTTGCAAAAATATACATAGTAAATTATTACAAAACCTCTCAAAATTTTATAAATAAAAGCAATTTGAACTTTAAATCTCTCTCTGGGCGGATATAATTATATTCTACTTTTATAATTTTATTTATTTTTATAATTTATTCAATGATAATTTGGTAATTATTAACATATATTTATGAAATCTTACATTTATTAATAAATTATTAAATTTAATTAAATAAATTTAAATATTTATAAAAAATTTGCTATGTTGAAAACTAAACTAACTAACTAACTTTAATAATTTTAGAATTAAGCTTTTTTAAATATATTTTTTATCAATGTTTTCAATAATAATCATCTTCAATATGAATTTTATATAAAGCGAATAGGAAATATTTTTTCAGGTACTCTGACTTTTTTTGTTTTATTACGCAAGAAATATTACAATGATAATTTGTTTCGCTAATATAATATTAGTAAATAACTACAAGGCATCTTGAAATTTTTAAAATAATAACCAAATTTGAAATTTAGTCGCTAGATGGATATAATTTTATTCTCCAGCAATAATTTAATAATGGCGAAAGTATTTTAGGAATCTTATTGGCATTTAAATATTTTGAACAGTCCCTGTCAAATAATTTAATCTAATAATCTCTAGAACGAACTAAAATTGAAAATATTAATATATTACTTTAAGTCTTCTTGAGAGCAATCATCTTCAGTACAAGTGTTATAAATAAAGTATTTATAAAGCAAGAAGGTCGGATATATGTGCGGCTAGTCTGGTACTTCTCTGGAAACTACTAACATTGAGCAATTCACTTATTGTTAGTTTATAAGTTTATAAGTTTGTTAGCGAATAATGTTAGAATCTATTTGTACGTGATTTATTGTCACATTCAAATTTTATTTGTTAAAATATGTACACTTTTCCAGATAAAATTGTAAGAATAATTCTGAACATTTGTTTGACGTATAGAGTAAATATGTATTTGTAATATTATGTGGTCATGAATTACAGAAGAAGTAACAGTGATTATCTATTTTGCAAAACTATATATGTATGTGTAGTAGCATAAATATGTAGTAAATTATTACAAGACCTTCCGAAATTTTATAATAAATAAGGGCAATTTGGAATTTTAATCACTAGGTAAATATAATTTTTTTTTTCAATATTAGTTTATTAAAAACATAATATAATAACAAAAAGCGAACTATTACTTAATAATATATATTGTTAACATCGCGCTGAAGAAGGATCCGCTGAAAAAGATGATCCGAAACATTCGCTTTTTGATGTTATAATATATTTTTAATAAACTAATATTGAAAAAAGAATCAAGTGTTGTTGCTTCTGTGCGCTCCAACTGCCGCGCATTGGCTTCTATGCCATTTTCCTTTTGATATTTTGAATTATTTGAGCCAAGTCTCTAATTATTAAATATAATTTTATAAATATAATTAAATATAATTTTATTCTGATTTTAATTTTGTTTTATTCAATTATAACTTTACAATTATTAAAGCATATTTTAAAAACTCATGTGGAGATTCAAACACTTATGATACCCAATGTTAAAAAATAAACTTTAATATTAAAAAAATTAAATTGAAAGCATTAATATATTGTACTTCTAGTATTCTAGATAATGTATTCAATGTAAGTTTTATATTAAATGGGAAGATACGATATATTTTGTCGAATATTCTGACACACACACACACACACACACACACACACACACACACACATATACACTTCTCTGGAAATCATTTAACAAATAGATCAAATATAGTTCATTTCTAAGTTAGCTAATAAGATTATGAATTGCGCGGAATAATACTTAGAATATTGCTCACATATAATAAGAATACAACTTTAATTCTATAATTTTAATTTGTGTCTACTTTTTCGTAATAAAGTTCTAACAATAAGAAATATTTCAAATACGTTAATGTTAACGACTTTACAATAGAACAATAAAAGAAATCCTTGAATTACACAACAGGTGACATTGACTATTGATTTCACAAAAGTAATATTAATAAATTACTACAAGGTCTTAAAATTTTATAGTTAATATGCAAGAGAATATGACCGCTAGATGGATATAATTATATTCTACAACAATAATTTAATAATTACTAAAGTATAGTACATTTCAACATTTTATACCGATATTTTAATATTTTATATAATCGCTATTAAACTGTTAAATCTAATTTCCGTAGAATAAATTTAAGTTAAGAATTAGTGTATTGCTAAGTTTTTTCAATAGCGATCATCTTGAGTGCAAATATTTTATAAAGCAGGAGCGTTGGATGTGTGTTTGGATAGTCTGATATTTCTTTGGAAACTATTCAACGATTCATTTACTTATAAGTTAGTTAGTAAGATTTCTTGTCATTGTTAACAATAATATTTGAAACATATTTCACGGATAATTTATTATTACATACAAATTTCATTTGAATAAATATGCTCCTGTTCGAATAAAGTTGTAAAAAAAATGTTAAACATTTATTTGTTAACGTTATGTGAATTTGCAAGATTTGTTTATCATGAATCACAGAAAAAGTAACATTGACTATCTATTTTGTAAAAATAGACTTAGTAAAGTACTATAAAACATCTCGAAATTTTATAATATAATATATGAAAGCAATTTGATATTTTAATCACTAAATAGATATAATTTTATTCTATTCTCTAATTTTATTTTATTTAATAATAATTTATAATAATTACACATATAATAATTATACATCTTTGGTAAATGTTTCTTCTCCACTCATGTCTCTTTCATAAACCTCTTCGTTAATATTTATTTTACCTTTATTATAAAATTTTATAATTTTTTCTCGTTTTCATTAAAGAATGAAGTGTAATACTTATAATATTCAATGTTGGAAAACTAACTTTAATAATTTTAGAATAAAATTAAGGTAAAAATAATAATATACTGTTCTTTTAATCTTCTAGATAATGATCATCTTTAATGGAAAATTATGTAAAGTGGATAGATATGTTTTCAGATACTCTGATATTTCTCTGAAAATCATTTAACAAACATCTATCAGCTTATTCAAGTTAGTTAGTAAAATTATTTATGAAAACTGCTTATAATATTTTTAACATGTAAAACTGAAGTTATAGTTCGATAGATACAATTTTTTCGTAATAAAATTCTGTAAGAAAGATTTTAAATATTTATTCATTTAACGACTTTATAATACAACAATAAGAAATGTTTAATACGTATTACATCATACGTATTACGTATAAAATCATTGATTATTTATTTGGTAAGTGTAGTATTAGTAAATAAGTACAAGACATCTCAAAATTTTATAATTTGTAAGCAAGTCTGGAATTTGGCCGTTAAATGAATATGTATGTGTAAAAATATATATGTATATAGTGTATTCATTAATTATTGAAATTCCCTCTTGATTAATAGTTGCTTTTGCATCAAAACAAAAAATGTTTGTTTTTTATATAATTTTTGTTATCATGTAATGTAATTTACAATCTCACGTATAAAGTAATTTATTTGTAATTATTATTTTTTTAAATTTATTATTATATTATTAAAGAAAAGAAGAGAGAGAAAAAGAATTGTATTTGTGTTATATGGATCAAAATCATACAACCATTTTTAAATAAAAACAGATAGGATGATTCTGATGATTCTGATGATTCTGTATTCTCTATGTATATTTATATATGTATATAATATATTATTATAAACATAAATAATAATTTTTTATTAATATTAGATATCGACGAAAAATTTCTCACAACTTTCCTCAATATCTCTTAAAATATTAAAAACAAAAACATTACAAATGAAATTTTTATATTATCAGATTAAATATTCAATTAAAATTAATATAACACATTTTGATATATCTCGGAAGAGATCATATTTAATTTATCATTTATATATGTGATGGAGGGAAATTATGCTTTCGGATAATTTCACATTTCTTTGGGAACAACCTCTGTATATCATTAAATTTTAAATTACGTAAGATTACTAACAAATAATGTTTGTAGTAGGATACCTTTTACATATGATAAAATTGCAAATTTAATTCAATAAAGTGTATACTTTTTATAGTAAGATTTTAAGAAACATTTTAAGATTATTTATTCACTAACATTTAGTTACTTTAAAATGAAGCAATAAAAAAGATTTGATATGTATTAATAGGAAGTAACTATTGTTATCCATTTTGTAACAATAGTAAATTAATAAATTACTACAAGGCATCTCGAAATTTTGTAACTGATAGGCAAGTTTGGAATTTGGCCGCTAGATGGATATCATTTTATTCTAAAATAATAATTTAATAATTACGAAAGTTTATTCAAAAATCTCATATTAATATTTAAATATTGTGGACAGTCGCTGTCAAACAATGAAATTTAATAACTTTAGAACGAATTTAAGTTAAAAATATTGATGTACTGCTTCAAATCTTCTCGATAGCGATCATCTTTAATACAAGTACTATATAAAGTAGAAAGGTCGGATTTGTGTTCGGATAGTCTGATACTCTCTCTGGAAACACACATCTCATTAAGGCAGTACACATACATAGTTTTAAGATTATTACCGAAACATATTTAGATTGTACTTCGTTTTAAGTTTATTAGCGAAACATGTTTAGAATGTACTTCGTACGTGATTTATTATCGCGTTTAATTTTATTTGTTAAAGTCTATATATACACTTTACAGATAAAATTAAAAGAAGAATTCTGAGCATATATTTGCTAGTATCAGGACAATAAGCAACAAAAAGCAATATGAACGGAATTGAATGTGTATCTGCACAATGTGGTTAGTGATAATGAAGTAATAATGATTATCTGTGATTAATTATCTGTGATAATTGTCTGTGATTAATGATCTGTGATTATACATTATCAATCACGGAAGAAGTAACGTTGACTATCTATTTTGCAAAAATATACATAGTAACTAACTAACTTTAATAATTTTAGAATAAAATTAAGGTAAAAATAATAATATACTGTTCTTTTAATCTTCTAGATAATGATCATCTTTAATGGAAAATTATGTAAAGTGGATAGATATGTTTTCAGATACTCTGATATTTCTCTGAAAATCATTTAACAAACATCTATCAGCTTATTCAAGTTAGTTAGTAAAATTATTTATGAAAACTGCTTATAATATTTTTAACATATAAAATTGAAGTTATAGTCCGATAGATTCAATTTTTTCGTAATAAATTTCTGTAAGAAAGATTTTAAATATTAATTCATTTAACGACTTCATAATAGAACAATAAGAAATGTTTAATACGTATTACTTATAAAATCATTGATTATTTATTTGGTAAGTGTAGTATTAGTAAATAAGTACAAGATATCTCAAAATTTTATAATTTGTAAGCAAGTTTGGAATTTGACCGTTAAATGGATATGTATGTGTAAAAATATGTATGTATACAGTGTATTCATTAGTTATTGAAATTCTCTCTTGTTTAATAGTTGCTTTTGCATCAAAACAAAAAATGCTTGTTTTTTATATACTTTTTGTTATCATGTAATGTAATTTACAATCTCACGTATAAAGTAATTTATTTGTAATTATTATTTTTTTTAATTTATTATTATTTATTATTATATTATTATAGAAAAGAAAAGAGAGAAAAAGAATTGTATTTGTGTTATATGGATCAAAATCATACAACCATCTCTAAACAAAAACAGATAAGATGATTCTGATGATTCTGTATTTTCTATGTATATTTATATATGTATATAATATATTATTATAAACATAAATAATAATTTTTTATTAATATTAGATATCGATAAAAAATTTCTCACAACTTTCCTCAATATCTCTTAAAATATTAAAAACAAAAACATTATAAATGAGATTTTTATATTATCAGATTAAATATTCAATTACAGAAGGGAATATGCTTTTGGATAATTTCACATTTCTTTGGGAACAACCTCTGTATCATTAAATTGTAAATTACGTAAGATTACTAACGAATAGTGTTTGTAGTAGAATACCTTTTACATATGATAAAATTGCAAGCTTAATTCGATAAAGTGTATACTTTTTAAAATAAAAGTTTTTAAGAAACATTTTAAGCTTATTAACTAACGTTTAATGACTTTATAATGAAGCAATAAAAATGATTTGATATGTATTAAAAGGAAGTAACTATTGAATATCCATTTTGTAAAAATAGTAAATTAATAAATTACTACAAGGCATCTCGAAATTTTGTAACTGATAGGCAAGTTTGGAATTTGGCCGCCAGATGGATATAATTTTATTCTAAAATAATAATTTAATAATTACAAAAGTTTATCCAAAAATCTCATATTAATATTTAAATATTGTGGACAATCGCTGTCAAACAATGAAATTTAATAACTTTAGAACGAATTTAAGTTAAAAATATTAATGTATTGCTTCAAATCTTCTCGATAGCGATCATCTTTAATACAAGTACTATATAAAGCAGAAAGGTCCGATTTGTGTTCGGATAGTCTGATACTTTCTCTGGAAACACACATCTCATTAAGACAGTACACGTACTTAGTTTTTAAGTTTCTAAGCGAAATATGGTTAGAATGTACTTCGTACGATTTATTATCGCGTTTAATTTTATTTGTTAAAGTATATATATATATACACTTTACGGATAAAATTAAAAGAAGAATTCTGAGCATATATTTGCTAATATCAGACGCAATAAGAAACAGAAGGCAATAAGTACGATCAAAAATGTGTATCTGCACAATGTGGTAAGTGATAATGAAGTAATAATGATTATCTGTGATTAATTATCTGTGATAATTGTCTGTGATTAATGATCTGTGATTATACATTATCAATCACGGAAGAAGTAATGTTGACTATCTATTTTGCAAAAATATACATAGTAATTTACTACAAAACCTCTCAAAATTTTATAAATAAAAGCAATTTGAATCTCTCACTGGGTGGATATAATTATATTCTACTTTTATAATTTTATTTTATTCAACGATAATTTGGTAATTATTAACATATATAGGAAATTTTACATTTATTAATAAATTATTAAATTTAATTAAATAAATTTAAATATTTATAAAAAAATTGCTATGTTGAAAACTAAACTAACTAACTAACTTTAAAAATTTTAGAATTAAGCTTTTTTAAATATATTTTTTGTCAATGATTTCAATAATAATCATCTTCAATATAAATTTTACATAAAGCGAATAGAAAATATGTTTTCAGGTACTCTGACTTTTTTTGTTTTATTACGCAAGAAATATTACAATGATAATTTGTTTCGCTAATGTAATATTAGTAAATAACTACAAGGCATCTTGAAATTTTAAAAATAATAACCAAATTTGAAATTTAGTCGCTAGATATAATTTTATATTTCCAATAATAATTTAATAATAGCGAAAGTATTTTAGAAATCTCTTATTGGCATTTAAATATTTTGAACAGTCCCTGTCAAACAATTTAATCTGATAATCTCTAGAACAAACTAAAATTGAAAATATTAATATATTACTTTAAGTCTTCTTGATAGCGATCATCTTCAAGTGTAATAAATAAAGTATTTATAAAGCAAGAAAGTCGGATATATGTGCGGGTAGTCTGGTACTCTGGAAATTGTTAACATTGAGCAATTCACTTATTGTTAGTTTATAAGTTTGTTAGCGAATAATGTTAGAATCTACTTTGTACGTGATTTATTGTCACATTCAAATTTTATTTGTTAAAGTATGTACACTTTTCCAGATAAAATTGTAAGAATAATTCTGAACATTTGTTTGACGTATATCAGATGTAGTAAATTATTACAAAACCTTTCGAAATTTTAATAAATAAGGGAAATTTTAATAAATTTGGAATTTTAATCACTAGATAAATATAATTTTATACTGTTTTTCTAATTTTATTTTATTCAATTATAATTTTATAATTATTAAAGCATATTTTAGAAACTCATGTTGAGATTCAAACACTTATGATATCCAATGTTAAAAAATAAATTTTGATATTAAAAAAAATTAAATTAAAAGCATTAATATATTGTGCTTCTAGTATTCTAGATAATGTATTCAATGTAAGTTTTATATCAAATGGGAAGATAGGATATATTTTTTCGAATACTCTGACACATACATACACACACTTCTCTGGAAATCATTTAACAAATAGATCGAATATAATTCATTTCTAAGTTAGCTAGTAAGATTATGAATTTCGCGGAATAATACTTAGAATATTCTTAGAATATTCTTCACATATAAGAATACAACTTTAATTTGATAATTTTAATTCCTGACTACTTTTTCGTAATAAAGTTCTAACAATAAGAAAGATTTTAAATACGTAAATGTTAACGACTTTACAATAGAACAGTAAAAGAAATACTTGAATTACACAAGAAATAACATTAATTATTTGATTTTGCAAAAGTAATATTATGTAATAAGTTACTATAAGGCCTTGAAATTTTATAGTTAATATGCTAGTTGAGAATTTGGCCGCTAGATGGATATAATTTTGTTCTAGAACAATAATTTAATAATTGCGAAAGTATATTTAGAAATATCATATTGGGATTTAAATATTTTGAACAATCGCTGTTAAACAATTATATGTAATAATCTCTAGAACGAACTTAAGTTGAAAATATTAATATATTACTTCAAGTCTTCTCGATAGCGATCATCTTCAATGCAAGTATTATATAAAGCAGGAAGATCGGATACATATTCGGATAGTCTGATATTCCTCTGGGAACTATTAATATTGAGCAATTCACTTAGTTTATAAGTTAGTTAGTAAGTTTTGTTAACAAATGATGTTAGAATTCGTACGAGATTTATTGTCACATTCAAATTTTATTTGTTAAAATATGTACACTTTTACAGATAAAATTGTAAGAATTCTAAACATTTGTTTGTTAACGTATATACAGGGTAAATGTGTATGTGCAATATTATGTGGCCATGAATCACAGAAGAAGTAACGTTGACTATCTATTTTGCAAAACTCAATAAAGTCCTGCAAGACATCTCGAGAAATTTTTAAAAGGAGAAATTATTAGAATAATAGATAGAAGCAATTTTTATTTTGATCACGAGGTGAATATATTTTATTCTATTCTGTAATTTTATTTTATTCAAAGATAACTTATAATAATTACACATATAATACATATTTGATAAATGCTTTTTGTCCATCCATATTTCTTTCGTTGATATTTATTTTATCCTCATTATGAATTTTTTCTCTTTCATAAAGAGTAAATTGTAAATAGAAAAATGTGTTGCGTAATTACGATAATAATAAGTATGATGTCTTAGTTCTATCTCAAGAGATGTTTAAACGACATAAGAATAAATAAACGCCCATGTGTAAATAAACCTTCGGTTTGTTTGATGAAATAATCGATCGTGACCCGTTAAATCGACACGAAGAAAATCTCGATAATCGTTATTACCGTTAGCGAAAATTACTCTGCCAAATCTTTACACTCGTCTACTGCCGGTCACGACCGGTCAGTGTAACGATGACTACCTCGTGACAAACCGCTGATCGATGACGAAACGATTTATCGAATCTTGTCTACTTATATCACGTGATTTCGTTCTGTATTGTTCCGTGAGTTTTGTTATTAATTCTTTTAATTACACTTAAAAATTTCAATCTATTTTGAATTTATTCTTCAATATATATGATAAAAATTTATAAAATTGGATTATTAACTTTGTTTTGTAATTTTTACTTGTCACAGATGGGGTACATATGATACGAAGAAATGCTAACGTTCTGACATATAAAGGATATGTCAGACTATCGACTTCCTTTTCTTGTCGGATGCTTGAATTGGTTAATTCTCTGCACCAGTTCGACAATCATCGATCAGAACACAACAGAGATCGATATTGCGCCCAGAATCTTGTCGCGACCTAAGAGGTACTTGATTTTTCCGCAGGGTAGTAATTTTCAGGTAAATTAATTTAAATAATGCCTCGAACAGAATGTCTTTAATATTAATATGTTTTATAAATTCCAGAATTTTTTCCACTCTCCTAATTTATAGAACTTTCATGTGTATAAAACTTTTGTCAAATAATATTAATGTTAAAACACTCATAAAATTTCCTAAAATCCAGATCTGATATTTGAGAAGATATTTTTACCTACAGTTTAAGACAATTGTTAGAAAGAGTGAGCAATATTAGTTTAAATGAAATTATATTACGCGCATAGAAAGGAATCAAGCTACCGTATAAATTTGGCCAAGTATTTCGCAAACGTTTTGTATACTTTCCATAGCGTGATTTTATTGCCTCTTTCTTCCTCTTAAATTTTGGTACACGGATAAAGTAGAAAAGTAAAGTGCCTCGCCGCTCTCTCGTGCTTCTTGCAGTCTGCGAAATTTACATGGAAAACTAAATTTGCGCGTGAATGTTCCGTGTATTTTCCAGTTAGTGTATTGTCTGACTATCGGAGCGTACGGCCGAGACGGTGATTTGGTGGTGGGACTGACAGCTGCCTTAGCCTGGGAACTTCCGAATAAGGTCGACTCAAAGATATCGAATTTGCTTCACCGTAGAAGCCGTAGCGTCGTATATCCGAAAATGGAGGCTTTTCTGCAATCGTGAGTGTCGTGTTATTTCGCATTTTCCAACCAGTTTTGCCAATCTTTCAATATGCATTCGGTCTGACGAAAAGTAACGTAGCCAAGAATACTGTCCGAAACGGTTTGAGACATCAAAAATCCTCTCGGGTCGCCGCGTTTCATACGGAAAGCCGAAAGTGGATACGCGCGTTGTCTCTAGCTATGATTAGGTCTGAAAAATTTTAAGTGTCGATTTAACGCAATAAATTTATCGTTATTAAACGCGATTTTAATTTATTTACTCCATAACAATTTATTAAAGAAGTATGTAAAATGTAATTCGGACAATATTATACGGTTCGCATGGTGCGTGCTATAGCTACGCGAAGACGCAATTATTTTTAGCTGTAATTAGAAACGGAATTATTTCAAGCATAATTGTTTTCGCGCGGGAGAAGCCGAGCTGTCGTCAAAGTTTACGCCGAGGAACGTTTTCAAATTAAACTTTATCGGCAGCATTGGCCTCGACGGTAGATCCTGCGTGATGAGAGCACTCTGCGAAGCGGGCCAACGCGATCCCTCTCAAGTAGGTACAGGCTCCTTCATTCAAGAACTTCTTCATGCAATTTTCACGTAAGTGTAATTGCGACTGTATTCTAATAAATAACAAATATTTTTATATAATATAAATTTCTCTTTGTATCATACAATTATACCGAACTTGTATTCTCTTTTCTATCTTCTATTCTCTTTTCGCGAAACATTTTTTTAGAGCTTTAATTAACGCATTAATTAACGGAACGAATGCAATTTGGCAGGCACTTTATCCTCACTGAGCATTATGTAGAGAAGATTATTACACAACAACAATTTTATTCCGCAGATTACCTATGGACGGCGGCAGATTCGAGCGATCGCAAGACCACGCTTACGATCACGCATACGAAACGAACGGAAACTGCGAGATGCTGTATCCCGCGTGTCAATACTCCATTTATGACATGGACTTTTAACCGATTTCGTTCCGGAAACCATGTCACAAACTGCGGTCGACATGACGATCACACGTCTGATGGTGACCGACTTGTCGCTGGGACCTTGGCGAAGTTTTTCTGGTGGCTGAACGATTTTTCCGGCCTGGCATCTGCCCTGGCTTCGTGTATGCTATTCCGCGACGAATATCGGTCTTCGATTACTGATAAAACGCGTCGACCTATCGCACGGTTGTTTTTATTGTCAAACTTCAAACTTTTCGAATGCCGCCGAGACTGAAGATTAGTTTGTCGTTTGTTTTTCTTTATTCACAGCGTGTCATTTCCGAGAGAGAAGATATATTTGCATTAAAATAGAGATGAGCTTACGCAACTCGTTAATCGAGTAAAATCTAATTAAGTAGTGTAAAATATTCATACATTATATTTTAGTTTAACATACTAATTAAGTTAATATCGTTATCTTGCCACGAGCCGTCCTACATTGGTCACTATGTATTAATATATAGTATAGTATATAATATATGTGCATATAAAGTTAATAAAAAAGTGATAATCCGCTTTTCTTAATTTCTAATAATATTTTATCGCGAACATTGTAATCGAATAAGCAAATATTTCGCGATTTATGCAATTTTTAACAATAATATAGCATTTCCACAATTATGTATGTGTATGTGTGTATGTGTTGATGGGTCACGACGACAAACGATTATTTAACATCAACGACTATTCCGGGGTTAAATTCAGAAAGTTTCGTGGGAGGCTCTCGCGCTATGAATATTCTATATCGGTCATTACATTACTTCCGCAACGTGTAATTCATTTTGGCGCGAATAATTTCACGACGTTTTGCATTAATAAAACGGTCGCTCGGTTCTCGTCGATTTATGGTTCATTTCTGTAGAGTGCTCCGATGGAACGCTCTGAAGCCCGCGGTTAGTTTCCCTTTTTTTTTCTTTTTCTTCTTTAATAGAAAAATAAAATATGCCAAATACATCTCCGCATTGTTGTAACAAACGTCTAATGAATATTCAATCGTCGAAGCTGCTCGGGAAATGTCCTCGCGTTTAAATATGTCAGTATTTATTTGTCATTCTCGCAACAGAAGAGTCAGTCGCAAATAATACCGCATTTATTTGATAATTCTTTATTGTAATTCATCCCCCTTTATTAACAATAAAATATTATCCGTGACTCGTAATATATATTTCATCCAATTGGAAAATCCTGGGATATAATTACCTGATGTTCGTTTGAAGGTAGCGCGTAAAAAATTATTGTTATCGTCATAAAAATTGCAAACTGAATATTTTCCGCTTCGATGTAAAATTTCGTCCTTTTGCTCGGCTAAATGATATTCCGGCATTATTATTATCACATTCACGCGCGTATTCCTCTTTTGTTGCGTCGCGCTAAATATAATTTTGCGATGCATGTAATATTCGGCTTAAATTAGATTACTGGCACGAGTTTGATTCGATAATATGTACTGTGCACTCGGTTTAGTCGTGTCCTGGTTATTTTAGCCGGAAATTTATCCCAATGATAATCAAATTATTGCAGGATCGTTTACCGCGAAACTAAAAAACGCAGGGGGATCGCTGATAATTTTGTATCCGTAATCATGTAATCCGTAATACACGTAATCTGCGTAACATGAAATAATTGTGCGAATAAATTGTACGCGAGGTTGTTCTGACGAGTTAACGACTTTCTGAAGTAATAAATTATCGTATTTGTAGAAAGCACCGTACGCTTTGATACTAATTTGAATCAGATTAATGTTTAATCGGCTCATGCTTTATTTTAATGTAATCGATAACCAATTAAAATGCTAATTTAATAATTGTTCTTGCAATGCTTGATCCTACTAATTATATTATCATATTATTGTATAAATAACAATAATAATAATATTTAGGCAAATTGTGATTCATAAATATTAAATATATGATTTTTTATTGACAAAATGCAATGACGTATGAAAGAAAAGTAAAGGAATTGAGATAAAATTACGAGTAAAGTATTAAATTTTTTTACACAAAAAAAGAATATCAGAAATATTTATAGTACTTATATATAACTTGCAATTTTCAAGTTTAAAATATTTTAGATCTTTCGTTTTATCATTTGCTTAAAATATTATACGGACTGCATAAATTTTTACGGATGCTTTCAATATTTTTTTTAGAAATATAACAAGAACATAAAGTCAAATTATTCCTCGCTCAACTCGTTAAGATAAACGGAGTACCGTTGCTTTTCGACATACGCAAATGTAGTTAGCGTTTGCTCTCGACTATTCACTGTTCAGAATGCTGATACATTCGACGAGCGTATTCTATCAGTTAGGATTAGGACTTTAGCTACGTTCAATGGAACATGAAATTTGCCCATCGCGATGCTGATCAATCGTTTCCGACACCTAGTTCTGCTCGGTATTCTCGTTACCCCTCGCCTCGGAGAGCTGACAAACTCGACGACATTTCGAAACGATTCGCCTGTGAGGTCCGAGAGAGAAATTGGCATTAATTATCTGACATTCCCTCAAGGCAGCAACGTTCAGGTAAGATATAAATTTTCATTTTACATACATATATTACAAGAAAAGGAGCATTCTCGCCGAAATGGTAATTATAGTCGCCTCTTTTCGCGTCAAGTTTGCGAATTTGCGATGTATAAACTTGGAAAATGTTAGGTGAGCGTAAACGCACCTGTTACACCACTCGCTTTAGAGATTCGAAGAGAGAGAGAGAGAGAGAGGGATAAAGAGTCCGTTATTAAAATGAAATCATAACTTCTCGTGTTTTTGTTTTGACGGAACGTGCCAGACAGGTCGATACGCGAGTCGGTGTAAAGAGTTTCGCCTTGTGCAAAGTTGTATACTATAGCGCAACATAAATTTTCGATATAATTTAGCTAGGAAAGTTTCATATGCTAAATGAAGCGGAACTTGTTTTATGCATAACGTTTTAAAAGACTCTAATAAGCGCAACAACCTCCCCAAGTAATAATAAACTACGTGAAGGGCAGAAATATTAATCTATAACGTAAATAACCAATAATTAATTTAAATACGTCACGTTCAATATGCACTGAATTATAGGACAATAAAGTTCTTACTTAGAAAGTAAGTTAATTAATCAGTATCGGGGTAAAAAGTTAATCAATAATCAATTTCTCTGTCTCACGCATTTTTTAGATTAAACAAATTTTAAAGTATATATGTATTACTTTCATTTTTCGCTTGATTTAATAAAAATTAATCTCCGTATTTATCTTCTCTTTTATTTTTTTTTCACTGTATTACGCAGCTCGTCTACTGCTTAACCACGAGCACGTACTCGAAGCCCCAAGGAGTGTTCGTCATCGGTGTCACCGCCGGGTTGGCGTGGGAACTACCCCATAGAAGTATCTTGCCATACAGGAAGCCAGCCGAGGTTTATCATCGTCGAAGCAGAAGAGAGTTATATCGTAAAGTGGAGCTAATGTTAAAAACGTAAGTAAAGAAGGAAGACAAATGAAAGAGCTAAAACTCAACCGTTTTCTTTCAACCGTTTTCCTTCTCTCCCTCTATACGTATAAATTACGTATTATAAATACACGGGCGGACGAAATCATTAATTATAAATTAATAATAATGCAAATGTATCATCTCAGCTTTACACAATAGAAAGCTCAGGGTCGCTGTTATTGCCACGGGAAAACCAAATATCTCACAATTGTATCGCATCTCGCGTGCTTCTCTAGTGATCAGATTTATTCTCTTCCTCGATGAAAAGTCCCTCGATGGAAAAATGGTAATTCTATTGAACGATCGCGCGAAGGGTGACTTATCGGTGAGATTTTTGCCTCGGCAATTTGTCGAGCAAGAGTTCGCTGTCTTCCAATGCGAAGAAAAATAGACGCGAACTTATTATATCAAGGAAGAGCCGTCTTCCTTATCTTGAGAAAATGTTTCCATTTTTCGAAGCGAACGTTTAGGAGTGATCGGAGTCGCGCGCGAGGAATCATAAAGCCGGGAATTTAAGGCAAGATGATATTCACCTGGTATGCACCCCCGCCGTATCTAACCCCCCGACGTAATCGACGTTCCTTGTTCGACGGCTGCCCGCGTCACGCGTTCGCATGAAAACGCAAAGCTCCCGTAAAGCTCGACCGCGTACGCGCGCGTGACCGTAATAAGATTATCCGGGAAATCCGGATAACACTGGCCGTGGCGAAACACGCACGACGAAAGAATTTCACGGCCCGATGGTGCAGAGAAATGCTCTCGAAACGCTCGCTCGCGACTCTCGAGGAGACGACGATAATTTAAGTATAAGAAACGACGATAATGCGTTCACGAACGGATTAAGGGAAGCTTCCTCAAAATCACCGTGAAGATTTTACGCGACAAAAAAAATGTCGGAATTAATAAATGGTTTCTCGCTTCGTTCGTTTAATTATTTTTTGATAAATTGACCCTTTCGTACCTCCGGCTTTCCCAAAAGAGGTGTGTTTCACATGAAGACAGTTTTACAGGTTTTTTGGGGGTGATTTCAAATTTATCATCAAATTTTAAATTCAAAATGGCACATTCAAGATGGCGACTATGAAAAACTTAAATATCAATATATTTAAAATATAAGCTTTGATTTTATTTTTTTAAATATATATTATGTTTTTTCCTGATTATACATACACATGTTCGACTCATAGCGTTGTTATATATTTTTTTTGCAAGCCGCGCATCTGCCGCGAGACTTGGATGCCCGTCGCACACGTCATCTTACTTTGATTACACATATAAATTATTATAATATTTATTACAATAAAGTTGTAATCACATTTAAATAAAATTTTAAATTTATAATTAACGCATAAATTTTATAATTTTTCGATTGATATGCGATTAATCTTCTCTAAAAGTTTAATTTTTTACAAAGTTTCGATAATTATATTATACTGTAAACATTACATTTCTAAGTGCGCGATTTTTTTACATATAACTTGAACCTTCTTCTTTAAAACAAGCCAAGATAGAGGTCGATAGGATTATTTATTTAAAAGTTATGATTTTTTTCGTAGGTGGGACATATATGTCCCGGAGGTAGGAAAGGGTTAAGAATAATTCTTTAAAAAAAAAACCGGTTATTTACACCGCGTGACGTTACATCCGTTAAACAACGTCGAAAGCCATGGAGGATTGTTGGTATGCAGACGGTTCATCAGGTGGGAGCAGCTTGCTCTTTGGGGAATGACTCCCGTGAAAGCAATTACAGAAAACCATTAGAACCATTATGCTCGCGCTCCACAAAACAGCAGACAATTTTGCGCGAGAAGACGGGTACTTTAATGTAATCTCCGATTAAATCGGATTTTCGATATAATTGCAACGCGTTGCAGCGATAACGCTCCACAATATACGGATAAATCCCGGTGTAGAAAGTTCCGAAACTAATAACAACGTTTCCGCGTCGCGAAACACGAAGAAATAACGCGACAAGCGCCGCGAGCCGCAATTTTATTTCGCGAAATGCATACGCCGCGGAGAAATATATGGGACCGTCGCTGTTTGACGCGCGCTCAGCCACGGGAAAAAATTGCACGGCATTACTCGGACGAATGATGCCCGCGTACTTGCGATACTTTATTCCGAGCGTCGCGCTACATCGCTCCGCGATGCGGTTTCGCGGACGACCATCCAGCCAGCCAGCCACCCAGCCAGCCATCCAGCCATCCAGCCATCCAGCCATCCAGCCGGCCATTCAGTCAACCAGCCAACCAGTCAACCATCCGGCCACGGAATTGCACGGCTTATGTTAGAGAGCGCGCTTCGTCTTAAGACGTCCTCGTCGAGTAATCCGCGGGAATAAAAACGACCGTTATTAATTTTGATTACCCGAGGGATCGTATTTCACTCGTCACGTAGCGGACGGGCGAAGATTATCGTTGACAAAATGGTACGCGAGTACGGAGGATTCCAAGCGAAAAAAAAATTAAGCACATTGCCCTTGTCTTCCGCCTGGTCTACATCGATCTTGATGGATTTGTGCCATCAAGATCGCGGCTTTTCCATCAATATTTAAGCCGTTGGCCAAGCTCGGGACAAAGGTCTCCGAGCGCATTTCCGAATTCAACTATCTTAGGAAATGTTGATGGATTAAAAAAATCACGAAAGGATTTATTACTCCGTCAAGAAACCGCGACACTAAAACGAAGCTCCAGAGATTTCCTCGTCGATCGCACTAACATCCACGCTGGGATAAAATCCCGTTTCGATGCGGATAAATCATCCCTCCCTTCGCGAACTGTCGGATCTTCGCAACTCTCTCTATCGAGACCCTTATACGTCCTACCGATCGTAGCCGTTTACTACCGCGTGTATACTAAAGTTTCGGTTAAGAGTCGAGCAGCGGGATTAATCCTGGGTAAGACGGTTACTCTAATTCTAATTGCACGGAGCCATAGCCTAATTGCCAGTGCTTGCTCAGCGAGGGAGAAGGCGGGGAGAGGGAGGCGAAACGACGGCGCGGTTGTTTAGCATAGGGAGCGGGGGAGGGGGGACGGAAGGGGGGGATGGGAACGAGGGCTCATTGTAACCCCCGGGTTTACGGTGAACCGTTTCGTACAGGGCAATATCAACGCGCCCTCCGGTATTATCGCGAACTTAATGAATAGACCGCCGACTCTCGGGGCGAAACCGACAACGATAACGAGGATGATAATGATAAACGACCATCGAATTACACCGCTCTTCGAATCTTTGGCCCCGTAATCTCATCCTGTGTTTCTCACGAAGCCAGGTGAAGGACGGCAAAGCCTGCGTCCTCAAGGCGATCTGCAAAGCGGCCAGGCGTAAACGCGAAGACGTAGGGAAAGGAAGCTTCATCGAGGAGATCCTGCACGCTACGTTCACGTAAGAGAAACATCTCGTTTGTAAAATGTATAAATATTAAAAATTAAATCTTTTATCTCGAAATGAAAAAAGAAAATCCCTCGGATATTAGTGCCACGGTAAAAGATGACGGGTTCAATGATTGCAGACTGCCTGGAGGACATTACGATATCGATCCGATGACCGAATACGAGCGAACTTACCACTTGGGTGAGAATTGCGACGAGATGCACGCCAAGTGTCCAGATGTCTTCTAAAGTGCCGCAATCAGCGCGATCATCTCTTACACAATCACGAAACGAGCAGCTATCACGCAGAATTCTCTCTCTTCCATCTTTTCTTCCTTGTAATCAGATTAACGAAGTGCTTCAACTGTAACACCAAAGATTATCAGATTTAGATTAAGATTTTCAGGAAACTTGGAATTCACAGATACAGATAATAATGGATGATATTAATTGTCTTTATCTCAAGTTTTGACGTTAATAAAAATATTGTATTCTTTAATTAAAATAATCTTTTTTTGTACTGAATTTGCAAATGTATGTAAGTTTGAATTATATTAAATATTTGCAAATATTTATATTAAATATTTATATTAAATATTATATTAAATATTTGCAAATATTTATATTAAATATTTGCTTCTTAACATAATTATAGAGCTAAAATCATTTACTATTTCATTTGAGAGGAATTAAATGGAATTAATTGTGCTAATATTTATAAAAAATATATTATAATAAAAAAGTTATTATATTTATATACAATACATATCTTGTGTCTACTTTATATAATACGTACATGGCTTCATATACACTCTAAAGTGCATTTTAAAAATAGTCTGTCGTAAGTTCGTCGTGAATTAGTTTAGGTGTAAACCCATCTCTCTTTCTGCACAGCGTGCAAAGTAATACTCTTTTTGAGCTTAAAAGATCGTGTTGTTTTGAATAATTATGTGCGGTGTTTTTAATCGTAGAAAAAAGGAGCCAAAATATCATAGCATCAAAGCAAATAATAGTAACCATCAGTATGTGATGAGATCGACAACAATGTTGATAACAATGACGTCAGCAATTCAAATTATGCAGTAAACGTCGTTCTTGAAATTTCCTCGTAACTATGAAATTGCTCGGATTACAACAGAACTTTCAAAGACCCAATCTCTTGAGAGAAAGAGAGAGAGAGGGGGGGAGAGAAAGAGAGAGAGAGAGAGAGTCTTTGAACAAAGTGCAAATTACACAGTGTACTGTGTACTTCGCATTAAAATCTATCTACTTTTTAATAATTGCGAATAATTTAACGCAGCTCTATAATTATTCTTAAAAAGATGGTTCTCTCTTTCATCGATGTAAAAAAATAATAAAACTTTATTCTTCTTAATTTGACGTAAATCTTCAAAAGGATTTTATAAATTAATTGGAAAGAAATTACTCGTTTGAAATGTCTCGGAAATCGGATGTCCTTTTAATCGCAGCTTCTTTAAATAATTTGAAGAGGAAGCGTTTTTTCTTCTTAGCGAAAAATTAATTACTGACTCCGCCAATATATCTTCATTGCGATCGAAAAACGCGTAAAGTTTTCGAATAAATTCCACCGCGATATCAGCCCCAATATTGCGAGAGAAATAGCTTCGAAGATTGCGTGATTTGCACGCGAATCAACGACTCCGCGCTAATTATATGTGATGTAAATTTGACTACCAGCTGATATTCTGGAGGGGAATTGTATTATGTTAGCTTACCGTCACTATACGTGGAAATAGAGTGTAATTTCACACACACAACATGCAACACGCGACGCATTACTGATCTTAGAGATTATATATATCTGCGAGAGAGAGAGAGAGAGGGAGAGAGAGAGAGAGAGAGAGAGAGAGAGAGAAAGGGATATGCAGTATATTATTCCATCCACACGATCTATTATTACAAGCTAAACAGATGAATCTGCGTCCGCTGGTTTCCTTAATAGCGACCAGAATGTTCGTGCAAAATGGACTTTGGGGTAACATTGCGTTACGTCGAGGAAATAGTCGACCCACATTGGATAAACGTGTCGCAACTATAGGGCATGTTTCGTAACAGATTTAATACGTGTTCTAGGTATTTATCGTAATAAAGAAACGAAAGTATTGAAAGTATATATTGCGAAGTGTCGATAAAGAGATTACCGCATTGATTATGTTGGCAATTTTTCTTGTATTTATATAGCAATTGCGCGATTAAAGATTTCGAAGAAATCGTTCCCTCGAAAACGAGAAAAATCGCTCAATTTAAAGTGTTAGATAAATCACGCGGTTTTCCCGGTTAGGGTGGCAGAATGGAACTGGCAGTGTCGTCGAGAAAAAGAAATAAAAAATGAGTTTAAGTAGGGAGAAGGAAGAGGAGGAAAAGAGAGGGAATCAAGGAGATCCGAAAGCCCAAAATGAAATTACCTCGCAGATGGAAGCTGTGAAGATGGTCAGAAAGCACTCGGATCCTCGGGATTGGATAAAACAGGCAGACTGTTCCTGAATATATTTTGCGAGATTTACGAAATTTAAGGGTTCTCGCAGGGATAGAAGACTGCGGTGTAGAGAGGGGAGGGAAACGGAGAGCCGATGAAGCTCTCATAAAGAACTGCCCGAGCTTTCGGTGAGATTTTTCAAGATTAGCATGGAAAAGCAAGAGGACTCCGCAATATGGGGGACAGCTTGTCAGACTTTAATGGCCTACGAGAAACCCGAGAGAATTAATGAGCTCTCTCAGTCGGGCTCATTGAATACGCATGGAAGTCATTTAGTTATTGAATGGCCAAATTGGCCAAATTGGCCATTCGATAATAAAGTGACATTAAAATAAAATAGCAAAATGAAAATAACAGATAATAAAGGAAAATAACATAGCAATTACGTTCTTTTCGTTATAATATTCGCAAAGTTTTTTGCAATTTGTTTAATTATTGAATGGCCAATTTGGCCAATTTGGCCATTAAACAAATTGCGAAAAACCTTGTGAATATTATAACGAAAAGGACGTAATTGCTATGTTATTTTCGTTTATTATCTGTCATTTTCATTTTGCTATTTTATTTTAATGTCACTTTTCCTATTATTTTTGTGTTGCTTTTCATATTAACTGTCTTATTTCGAATTTAAAAAAGATATTTTCATTTATATTGAAATTTTCACGTACATCAACGTTGCGTGTGCTGAAATATTAAAACTTGACAAAAACTAAAATTTATTCTATCTTGCCACTGGAAAGATATCTTACCGCGACATAAAATATACCAGAGAACGAACGTATGTGCAGTCCATGTACGAGATAGGACCGCATACTTTATTACAATCCCAGAAGCTGTCCCTTACATGAAGTTTCGTACGTATGACTGAAAGATACAAAAATTTAACACACAGGATCAATAAATGTTATTTTTGAAGGGATAATTTTTCGTTCGCGTGATAATTACGTGAAAATAATTGCAGATTCGATTTCATAATAATCACGTTAAACGGAGGCGCAATTAACGCGGTATGAATGTACGTTTAAATATTCGAGCAATTAGATTGTCTTTCATCGTTGCAAACCAGACGTGTGATAATTCGCGGTGCAAACAACGAGCGCGAGATGTTATTCCCATATCGTCATCCTCGTGGCGAGTCGTTTCTCGAATGCGCAAAATGCAAGTGTAATATTTCGACGTAACCGCGAAGGATGTTTCCGAGGTTTCTGAAAATGCTCTTCGTCCCGTGAGCCTCCCGGGAGATCTCCGAGCAACGGAAGGTGGACCGATTTTACCCGCCTGTCTGGTAATTTCGAGAAATGAGAGCCCCGTGGCTCGTCCTGATCCTCGCCGAGATCCCGGACTCGTTGTCGCTCCTGCGGGAGGCGGTGTGTCACCGTAATGACTCCGACTTAAGTGCCACTGGTCAAAGGTCAGGGGAGACTTTACCCAGGCGTAAACGGGAACTCGCTTTTCCGAAGGGGAGCGCCTTCGTGGTGAGTCAGACGGTCAGCGGAGGGTTCGTCTTTCATTACGCCGGACTTTTACGAGAGCTTCGCGCCCTACTCGTTCCACAAATATCGAAAGAGATCGATAGGAATCAGTTAGGCGGACGTTTTCTCATTTTACGTGATAACCGTGCTTTTACGAGCAACCATCTCGAAGCTGGCACACGGTTTATATTATAAACCGAAAAGTATTATTGAATTAAATTCATCAGTAATTTATGTACTATCAGTATTATGAAACACGTATTATGGAACACGTATTTCCCCTATCAGCCATTGCATAGATTTACAAATATAGATATATATAAGAAAATTTCTCTCTCATCTTTTTATATTAGCAATTTTTTTATTTTAATTCAAGTATTTTTGACTGAAACAATTAAAGTAATTTTATTATTTAAGCAGAGATTTTATGTATGTGGAATTCAGGTAACCTTGACCCTGCTGAAAGCTATTCAGATTACTGAGCCTAGCAACTGGAATCTCGATTTGGAATTCGATATGATATGGCCTATACCTAGTCGAGAAGATTTGAGGAAAACTGTAATCAAAAGACCGTCCAAGCTAAAACGACGACATAGACGCGAACTTTATGCCAATCTTGAATTAGCATTGAACGGGTAAAAAAGAAATTAAATGGCTAAATAAATGTATATAAAACAATTTTTGTAAAATATATAAAACGCAATTTTTAGAAAATACAGACAGAATAAAAAAATAGAATCAAAGTATAAAATTAAATATTATGTAAGTTATTTACTAATATAACAAGAAAAATTTGTTATTAATATAAAATAATTTATGATTTTAAAATACGTTATATTCAAATGTATTTAAATATTATATTCAAGAAAGAGAATAAGGGGAAAAAATTAGTTGTAATTTTCGACAAATGTTAAAATATTAATTTTATCGAATGTGCATTAAATATCTCGAACATATGTTTTATTAAATTAAATATAACTGTAACTGACACAATCCGAAAAATTTTATTCGAGTTTTGGCTGTAAGTTAAACGTAATTAACATTATCTATTTTAGTCAAAACTTGCCTGGACGATCCTGTATTCTTCGTGCGATTTGTGAAGTGGAAACAGTGTTAAGTCCTCCAGGATTTTCAATTATCGAAGATGTTATACGAATTATTTTAAGGTAAGCGTATTTCCAATATTTTTATTACGATAAGAATTAATACTTTCTATACGAATATTTTAACATATAATACATATTGCTTTTATAAAAATTATTGTAATGTTATAATATTTAGAATTAAAAACTTAAGAAAATATGTTTCAGAAATTTCGAGGATGTTAATGATCACGACTGTTATGATATTGCATATCGAACAAAAAATGATTGCGAGATTGTCTACCCTTGTCCGTTTTCATTGTTGAAATTATTGTTATACAATTTATATACAGAAAATAAATGACTGTGGCGATTGGAAAGCCAGACTAATGATAAAATTAAAGTCTAAGCAATCTATAATGTGATTTATTAAAAAATTTTATATTTAATTAGAGTATTTTTATGCAGAAAAATCTGTGATATTTTCAATATTACTTTATCAAATAAATGTACGTTTATAATGTTTCTAAAATAAATATGTTCCTAAAAGAATCAATAATATAATAAAAATAAAAAAGAAATGAAATTATAAAAAGCGAACAATCCAAGCGCTTGTCTGTATAACTTTTATTTGATACATATTTCCAAAAATTATTATTAAATCATTGCTTAATTATATAATTTCCATTAAGAAGTAATTCCTAAAAAACAGATTTGCAAATTTTTTAAATTTATTATTTCTTCGTAATAAAACTCATAGCTTTAATTACTTTCAAACAAATGAGCATTTCAATCTCAAAGTCCGAATCATATGATACATAAAGCACATATCACATTACATACAAATGTAATGAAGCAAACGATACTTGATATTAGTTGGCTATGTAAAATAATAGAAAAATTGGCCTCACATATTTGAAATTATAATTTTCAAAGTGTTCTTATACCATCAATTTTATTAATATTTCAAATGTTGCAGTCGCTTCGCATTTATAAAATTTTTCTCTCACAGATGAATAAGTTTCCACTTCGACACGGCTGCCGCCGTTCAATCAGTCTAACAATTTCATATGTTTCTCTGACGCACAACCAACAAGTTAAAATTACATATGACTCTTGTTAGTTATATGTAAAGTTAATCTAGCGACACTAATTTGTTAGACGCAAACGTGATAAAAATAAAAAAAAAACTTTATCCAAGTTTATATTTAATCCTATCTAGTGATAGACCGAAGAGAGAGAAATAAATATATATTCTTTATTTTTAAATTAATTTTCCAAACTCAATATTCCTCTTCGATTTGTATAACTCAATAAAATTGGTAACATCCTTATTGGCATTTCTCCACTTCTAATCTTTCGATTTACTTAAAAAGGTTATCTAATTCTCGATATCTGTTTTACAGTTTATTTAACGGTGAATTCCATTCTCGACAAATAAAATTGTTCACCTCATAATTCGCCGCATGGATAATGATAATCGGCAAAAATCCTATTGCAGCGTACGATGATAAATGCTCTCAAATTATAGGCGCAACCACAGGATACAAGAGCGCGTGCGTGTGTCGTGTCCCGACACTGAAGAGAGGCACTCGGCACACGCACACAATACGGACGGAAACGTTAATCGCACTAATAGTGGAGCGGTATTTTACGTTCACGCCCAGCAACGTGTCGGGCTGTTCGGCTCTTGAGCCGTTAATCGTTTAGCTAAATAAAGCCGAGGAGAACGGAAGTACGAGCGAACGCGGCTGGACGTTAATGAATTCGACAATGCTCCGCGCTCACCTAACTGCAATAATAACGGTCGGTCCCGGCCGGGACGGGAGATTACTCACCGGGCGACCCTCGTGAACGACCGCAGGAGATCCAAATAAGTGAGACAGGTGAGCACAGGGATTATTCGCTCGCGATTTGACGCATCGGCGGTACGATAATAAAACAGCTCGTTTCAATTCCATTTTCGTTTTCGCGGGACCCACCGACGGATTCCGGAGATTGGCCGGGATAATTGCTCGGCCGGTGATCAAACTGGCGTACAATCGAACGGGGCTATCTATGGGACTATCTCGCGAATTTACATGCTGATATTTAACACGTACGAGTCGTCTCGTCTACGTGCAAAGCTTTATTTACGAGGCGTGTCAATTCCAGTGAAAATACAAAGCACACTTTGTAAATATAATAGATTGCATATCGATATTTGTTGATATTTGTAATAACGATAAAATTAATTGAGAAAGTAATACACATTTAGCTGTTCATTAATACATTATTTTTTTGTATTTATCAAAACAGCCTTCATTCACATTTATTGAATCAATTTCGTGTAAGCGGCGCAATATTATTTCGTTTCAATGGGAAAAAGTGACGTTTTCAATATTCGACGAAGGAGAGTGAATGACGATAAAAAAGAAAATTTGTCAGAAATGTCGATAATATCAGGCGTCCTCTCTTTCCCCGATTACTCATCTCTTGTCACACGGGAGGATCAAACGGTACAACTTCGCTTTTATGTAGTTTTCACGATAATGCACTCCCTTTGTTAATTTCATGCCAGGGTATTCTTTAGCTTCGGCAATTCAATACGGCTGGCAAACTACTCGACAAACTGATTAATCATAATCTATTCAGCGAGATAGCGAACCGCGCATTAACGTTTCGGCGATATTATTGATGTATTTAAGAGCACACATTGGCATTGCTATTTCCGACGAAGCTTTACGTCAAAAGTTCCAACAGAGAATCGTACACTCGATGAAAAAGATTCAGTCATCGAAACAAAAATTGCCAGAAAATTATTGACGTACATTGTTTGCGAAGGGATCGCATCGATCATTCTCCTTTTTCCATGTCATTTTTTCACAACCAACTAATTTCCCACTTCCTAAAGAGTTCGCCGAAGTGAGTTACAGGAGTTATTCTTAGCGCGAGGGCAGGATCCTTCATCCTACACGGAAAGCTCTGTCTGACGTTACACGAAAATATTTGACCAGTTCGACTCTCCCTCGGGACTACGATCGAGCAATTTCCTGTCGGAGTGGATTATGTCAGCAGTGTCCGTGAAACTTGCGAATCTCGCGCACCATTTTTGATATTTTTGACAGACGACGACGATTACGTTAAATATTGATATAATAGAATTATCCGGCGGTTATACCTTTAATGAATATCCGAGGTCGATGCGAATGTATCGGAGAATCGGGATAATTATTATCCATTGATTAAATGTCTATAAAAGATAATAACCTGATTTATACGCGTTAAGGATTATAAACGCGAGGAGAGATTACAAATTCCATCATTCGTCTATTTGACACACCTGTATGCAAAGTAATTATCTCCTCTACAAATACCATTATAATCCATTACATCCCTTAATTTGTTAATATAGGTAATTATAATTTCATGATGCTCTGCTCGAACAAGAGCTCTTCGAAATTCGTTTTTTAAATTCATTGCACCTGGTTTAATTTTTATGGGCCAAGTCAGGTTGCAATATTAAATCTTCTCGTTTAACGAGATAATTATGCAAAATTAAAAGAACGCGCGTGTGTTAAAGTTCAAATTTAACAGCGTACTGATATATTTTCTATTTCGCGCGTCACATATCCGTAATAAAACTTGGGATAAGATCAAAAACGGAAGGCTGTGACAGCCAACTTGTTTTTCGTTGATCGAAATAGAATTTTATCGAATTCCAAGCTCCGAACGTGTCTGCTACATCTAATCAAACTTGTTTCATCAGCGATATGGCAAGGGCGGTCGAGGAGACTTGATGCCGGCAAACCGATCGATTATATTGGTTTTCATCGAACACGGAATATCTTGTTATGGTATCGGCGGGACGAGTCGACGGATCACAATTTGCGGAGCCGGACCTTTTCCTTCATATATCTTTCGATATCTTGCTCGGTGAATTATACGACTAACGCTCCGATTGGCAGTCTTGCGCGAAACCGCGAAACGTCAATCGCAGCATTTTGCCCCGATTTATCAGAATTATTAATAAAATATATTCGGCACGACGTTATATTATATACACTATTGCATACAATATAATTATTATATATGTTATCGAAAGTTCGCGTTACATTATATTATGCGGAAAATTATTGACATATTCGTTAACTGACGTTAACGAACCTATGCGCTTCGAATGTACATAAATAGTTGCTACAGGAGAGAGTATCGACTCTCCTCGTGACGTAACAAATTTCGCAACATTCTACGCTCTGTCCGGGAGTACATTAATAATCCTGTACAAATTAATTGGCTGCTGAGGGTGGTTTGTAACTCGAGCGCGCAACGTTTGACATTGATTATAATATTTGCGCTCAAGTAATAAGATCCCAATTATGTTAGCCGGAGTCGGAACTGAGAAAAGTTAGAATGTCAATTAAGGAAACATATATTTGCACATGTATTTATCTTGAAGTTCGTTTATCAAAAAAGAAAATTTTATTTTGCTTCATCGCATACAATTTTTGTAAAATTCTTTATCTTGTAATTTTGTATATTCTTTAATTTTACGAGATTTCGGAAAAAATATATTAATGTTTTCAATTGTAAATTCCCATATTCATCCTCATCGATAGACACGGCTATTCTCCTATTGATTTCTTGATTTAGTTTGACGTCTTTTCGAGGGCACGGGAATTGACATCCCGCTTCGGAATGAAAAGTTCGCAGAAGAGGAATGCGACAATATCCCGCCTGTCGTTACGCGGGTGAACGAAATTCCCTCAAACGTGAAAGGAAAAGCGGATAACGTTCCGCTGCAGGATCTATGGGATTCGTGGCCGGAAATGCAAGCACGGTGATCGATGTATAATCACGTGAGAATGTACAATTCGCTTCTACTCGTATATACACAGGTACATTGCGTGTAACATCCTGCAGCAGCGCGCGCACACATATTCTCCTCGCCGGGGGAGGGAGAAAGAAACTAATGCCGGCAATTCCGAAGTTTTCCGGGTTAACATCGAGGAAGAATGGCAATCACTAGCGCAGCACCCACGTCGCGAAATGAAAAATTAATCTTGCATCCGTAAGATAAAATATACCTCTCTTTTTCGGCCACAAACTCTAGAAGAATATTTTTCAAATCAAAATTTTTTTTCAATGTTTACAATTTTCCGTATATTGGTGTGTCTTTCCTTCTTTTAATATCTCGAAATTAACGCGCTAAGAATTTCGCGCACGGAAAGTAAAGCGGAGACTTGATGTTTAATTTCGGATCAAGTGACGCGCAAAACCAGAATTAAAATTCCGCGCAGGCCCGCTCTTAAATATCTGCGAACTCGCGATAAATCCAGCCATTGGAGCGTGGCCGACCGGATTATTTATCCCAAGATTATTTCCTCGTACAATTCCAACTTCCTGTCTAATCCTCCCGACCGATCGCTAACGCCCGCTCGGAGTCACCAGTCCGAATCATGAGTGAGAGAGAGAGAGAGAGAGAGAGAGAGAGAGAGAGAGAGAGAGAAAGAGAGAAAGAGAGAGCAAGACAGAGAAAGAGAAAGAATGAGAAAGAGAATCCCGATGGTTTACGGCAGTTCGCTCCTCGCGATCGCAAAAAGGCGGCATTACCGGCGTCGCTCATGGGCTGCTTTTATTTCAGGAAAGTCGTCGAACAATTTCTCAACGGATTATACCGAGATTTGCTCTCCGGAAAGTTGGGTAATTCCTTTACAAGTTCGCGCCGGAAGAAGTTTTCGCCCGCCACGATTCCCTCCTCCCTTCCCCTCTTCGCTCCATAACCCTTCAATCTTGCACTCTCTCTCCTTCTCTATATGTTACGATGACAATGAAATAATTTCATTTTGCTCCAAAGAGCGCTTCGTTGACGCGACGAAATTAGCGATCTGGTTTTTGCGGGATTCAAACGCGGAATATATCATCTTTGGACGTTTAAAATAGCGACGGGCGAGCGTCAGCTGTGTCAATGTCAAATTTACTCACACAGATAGCACAAACGCATCCGCTTTTAATCCGGACTTCCACGTTTAAATCTGGAAACAGGAAATATTACCGTGTTTCGTGCTTCACACGCATAATAAAAATCAAGTATAAACTTATGTCCAAGATTGTTAATTGACTTTAAATTTTGTTTAAAAACATAGATTATTATATCACACTCTTTTGAAGAGAGATTTCGTTAAATCTTATTCATGAGTTTACTTTTCTAGTGCTCCATTTTTTTCGTTAGTTAAATCAACTACGCCGCATATATTTTTTTTACAGAATAGCAATGAATCACAATGCCAGGTATTTGATATTTTTAATGCTCTGCGTAATTTTGTCGGAATATGAGGCGAACGACAAATCAATTCTCTCAAGAAAACGACGTTACATCGTTTTTCCCGAAGGTTCTACATTTTCCGTAAGTCTAATTAATCGTACAATATCACATAATTAATATTTTTTATGTAAATAAACTTCTTTCTCTTGATTCGAAACATAATTATTATTCATAAAGTCAAAAAGTCATTATACTTCTCTATTGACTGGAACAACAAATTTTTATACTACAATATTAATTAAAATGTAAATTCAATGCATAACATGAATTAATTTAACTTCTAATTTAACTTATAAGAGGCATCGCTCGCAAGCTAATTAACTTGATCATTAATTACTTACTGATTAAATCCACTTACCAATAGATAAAGTTATGGGGCAAAATTGTTATACTCTAATATGATTTATTATAAACTGTTACGAACACATTATTTTCAATATCAACGAAAGATTTAATAAGCAATAAGAATCGAAAATACTCGTAAAACTTTAAGAAATTTAAGAAACTCCGTGTTTTTTATCTGATATCTTTTCGCGGATAACATTTCTAATCGCAGATACAATCCTAATTTTGCATGCAATACTACTTTATAAATTTATTTTTTATTTATTTTAAATTTATTATTTTTATCATATATATTTTATTATTTTAAATTTATTTATTTTTTTATTATATGACAGAAGGTGTACATCACAGTTTATTTATTGCGAGAAATTCATCCTGCGAGAATTAGTGAGATTTTTATATAAATGATGATGTAAGGAAAAAACTATGTCTAAGGTACAAAAGTGAAGAGAAATGACAGTCACAAATATAACGCAGACTTCTTACGCAGGTCGCCCTTTGTATGACGGTCCACACCCTAACCTCGGACAATATTTTCACGGAGGGTGTTAACTGGGGTATCTCCTATGACCTGCCCAACGAGAGCAAACCTGCCCTGGAGCCGTTTCTGCAGCTGAGAAACGATAAACTCAAAACCGGCAACAAGCACGATCGTTACGGTTCTACTGCAGTCGCTAATAGGAACGGCCCTCTGAAATATTCAGGATGGAATAACGATGTCAGGACTCACTTCGCGCCCGGCGGAAAGAAGTACCATAAGTCGGAGTACTATTACTTGCAAAGGAGGCACCGAAGGGAGCTTTACAAAAAATTGGAAGTCATCATGAATGCGTAAGTATACGACATTTAAATCAATGAAAGAGTTTTATTAACGTATTATTTAAAACATATTTCGATCGTTGCAATTCGGTAAAATCAATAAAAGCGCACCAAAACAATCTTCGATTGCGTCCAAGCAATCTATTTTTCAAATTTAAACAAACAGATAATTATATTTGCGTTGAGAAGAATATTTTTTGAAAAAATAGAGAGAAAAGAATAAAGAATACTTTACGAAAAAAATATTAATATTAATATTAAAATATGTGTAAATATATTTATTTTTAACATTTAATAAGAGATTAATAAATTTTATGACGAATAAAGAGTTTTATTTTACAAAATATTTGTATTTAAAAAATTTTATACAAAATTGCAACATTTACATTTCTCGAATAAGGATTTTATATATTAAAGCATTAAGCCGATTAATTAGCAAACTAACCAAAATTTAAAAATAGATGCTCTTTAATTTGCATAAAAATCTAATTATTGCTATTCCTGATAATAACATATGCTTATGCTTTCGTGGGCGATTAAGACTCCAATTGAGCGAATATATTAACCTGGATTTTAGAGCATCTTTGGGGAAAGAGGGGAGAGCGACGAATTTTCACGAGATGAGAGACACGCTCGATAATAAAATAGAACGGCAGTTTTAGTGATTCTGGCACGATCGAACGGTCGTCTTGCCTCTTTATGGCAAAGTCCCGTCGAAGTACTACAGTTTCTTCCGTGTCATCTATCGCAACGTATCCCGACGTCTCGGCCGCATTAACCGGAAAAGCTGATATATTGCAATAATGACGCTCGACGAGACTAAACTCTTCGATCGCGCATCGGTCGAAGCTAGAGACACGAGCTTATTGTCACGTCACGTGGGCTTACAATTTGTCAAGCTGTATTATACTGTGAAACAGACCTGTGACGTGCTATTACACGGGATTTAGCCAATTAATTTTCATTACTTGACCGGGGATTTAAATTGCATTTTATATCGAATCTAATCCCAGTACATGATATGCGTATCAAAAAACTTGATATCATGATATCATAAGTCTTGATACCTTGATAACAATCCTCTTTCGATACATCTTTCAATAATTCTACGCCGTCAAATGTTAAATAAAAATTATGAAATTAATGGTTATCCAATTAAAGAAAAGGCTCGCAAATCGATTCACAGAAGTTACAAATAAAATCAAAAACATGGAAACGAATTAAAGAGGATCGAATTACAGAGAACCGAATACAATTTTATCAATGCTATCTGTATTATGATACGTGAATTGATGCGATAATTTTACGGGAATACAATGTGCTTCAGCTCTATCCGAACTTATTAGGTACATTGGCACTGAAAAGCTGTGAATAACGCGTGACAGGTGTCTATATTATGAATGAGATCATAGATATGTCCGAAAATCTTTTATAAGGGATTTAGCTTAATCAGGATTAGTCAAATTTAGATCAATCTTTGGCTATCGTCTTTCGTTCTCGCATAATAGCTAAAGATAATATCTTGTATTTGTTCAAATTATTCATAATATTTATTTGGATTAGGTATTTCTTTAACGTAATTTGATTAGAGCTCTTGTAGTCAATTATTAAATTTCTTTCAAATGCACAAAGCTTTGTTGCACATAATTGAACAAATATCAACTCAAAATTGATTTTCTCTTCGCGAAAATACATTCGAGGCTTCTTCTCCTCATGATTCTTTGATTCTTTAAATAAACAAAAACAATCTTATTCAAAAAAAGCGCATAATAATAAGCAAACAATTTTTATGTATTATTTATAAAGCTTACGAGGCGAATAACTTTACGACTAACGTAGGACGATCAAAGAGAGCCATTTGCGTGTGCCTCGCATAATTGTCGAGAAAGCGTTTATTGCATCTCTCGCGATGCTTTTAAGGACGTTTATCGAACGACATTTAGCAGCATCGTTTACTCCACTTTATCCCAGCCGGGATAACGAGGCGAGCGTTAGAGTATTGCGGCTAATATCCGCATGAAATCATTCACTCCTTCGCCGAGAAGAAGTGGATGCTAAAGTGACGGTTTATATCCGACGTCTTATAGCGCTTGCTATAGAACATTGTGTAAGGATGATGCGTATTTCTACTTGTGTGCGTATGGGATACGGAGAAGTGCAACATCGCCATTGGTTTATAAGGGATCGGTCGACGAGGCGGTGATGCGGCTTCGAGGATGGCATGAATCAGAGGGTGGCGTTTCCACAGCCGCGACCCGATAGCGGCTGTGGGAAGGTTGTTTCTGAACGAGTCTCCAACAGATCATTTATCCGTTTCTCGGGCCAACGACCATGGGAAAATAGTTTCTCCCCCCCTCTCTCTCTCTCTCTCTTGCTCTCTTTCGCGACCCGAGCCATAACCAGATTTATACCCTCCGCTAGTCAGAGAGCCTCCGATTATTTTCGTCGATAGCGTTCCGCTTTCCGAGCCAAAATAAGGCCACGGCTATAGCCGTTGGGCGTTCTTACTCCAAGGACGTAACAAGAATATTTAACTGGGAAATCCTTAGCGTCGCATTGTGAGGAGGCTCATAAAGCAATTATCCGAAAATGCGACACGTAATGCGGGTTTCAATGCTGGACGTTTTGTCTTTCTTTCAAGAAAATAATGCAACAGGAGAAGCATTAGCACCAGCAATTATTGATTTATTAATTTATAGTTAATTTATTTTTTATATTCAGTGATATTTTTATAACTGTAGTTTTAGAAGAATAGTGTAGAAACGTAAAACGTAAATTGTATTTGAATTTATCGGCGAGACAAATTAAAGGATTACATTTGAAACACTCGTAAATTGGCAATATACGGACAACTAATACATGAACGAATGTCATTTACTTAAAAGAATGAATAGGATGAAGTGTCACATAGAAGTTATCTACTTAAATCCGCAGTATTAATTCTATCTCATTTCTTCGAAATCCACTCTTCAAGTTCTCTCTTCGTAAAAAGCCCTCGGAAATAAATGATAGGCGTTTATTCAAATTGCTTTGATAGGATCGGGGGTCTGTTGCGTATAAAATAAAAAACCCGTTGTCTTATTTTTTCGTTCAGTATTAATTTCTTTACTCTCTTTGAATTATATTAGAGAGAGAGAGAGAGAGAGAGAGAGAGAGAGAGAGATTTTCTAAAATGTAATAATTTAATTTAACTTTGAAGCTCCATGATTTAAGAAATATAATAATTTTTATTTTTAATAATAAATAAATATTATAATAGGATCTTAATTAATCACGAAAAATATAAAATAGAAATTTATAAGAATATAAAAAAATTAAAAATTAATTAAAATAAAAAAATTAACAATTAATTAGGTTGTTAAATGACTGAATACTGTATATGAATTATATTTTCTTCTTTTTTAAAAATCTTTTAACTTTCTGTTAAAACAGTATTTATCAATCGTCTAAAGAAACATACACCCTGTAAAATATCGTCGTTTCTTGTCTGGCTTTGAAGTCAACTGACTGGGGAAATCTGATAAATGCTGTCATTCAGCGCATTTTCCCTAAGGTTTCCTTTGCCACAAAGTGGCATTGATAAGTTAGAAAAATTGTTATCGTGATCCGTGCAGTAACTCGTAAAAATAAAAAAAGAGCACTTCGACAAATTAGAACCGAATTTAGTGGTAGATTTCACTCTTTTTTCTCTCTCTCTTTGTCTTTCGCAAAAAAACAACGACGAAAAAATATATAGTCGTCTTACAAATATTTTTTTTATAAAATATATCTTTTAACATTTTACATCTAATTTTCTCTTATTTTTCAGGATGGGTTTTGATGGCAGAACATGCATTCTACGTGCACTTTGCGAAGCATCCCAACGATTAATGCCGAAAGGGAATACTTTGATAGAAGAAATGATGCGGATATCATTCTCGTAAGATTCTCAAACGACGTGAAAGAATTTGGCAAATGTATCTCGAAGAGTCGTAAACTGACATTCTATTTTTCGAGGTTTTTTTATCTTTCTTCTACATTTACTTTAATTTACGAATTGATGAATGAAAACATCGCTAGATTTCAAAATAATCTAAAAGAGAAGAAAAAGAAAAAAAAATGCAACGACAGATGCGAGAAATTAAAAAGGTGTAAGATAAACAATAATATTAGATGAATAATAATGTTTTTTTTTTTCGAGAATTTGTAAATTTTATAAAAAATGCATCAAACTGAGTTGATAACATTCTTTATAACAAATTTTTTATTTAACAGACGGGATATTTTTCTTTAGGGAAAACAGTAATGAAAATCGTCGCAAAAATCTTTCTTTTTCTCTTTCTCCCTCTCTCCCTCTCTCTCTCTCTCTCAATCCGTTTCAATACACATATTTTTGTTATGAGTTAGTTGGAAAATAAAAATCGTGTTATTTTCCACTCGATATGATCTCGATATGATCAATACAATTTTATAGTTTTGTGTGTTAGCTATTTGTCCCCTTGTTGAAAAAAATCCTCTTCACTTTCAATCCGCTTTACATGAAAACTATTAATGCCTGAACATTTTTGTTTTGATTGTAATTCGTTATTACTACTTGACCCATTTATCTTGAAACACTTCATGAAGAATTTTGATAATAATATCGTAAGTATACAAGAGCTTTTATAAAAAATACACTTTTGTAATTAAAAGAAAAACAAATGCTTTAATATGTACTGCGACTCACAAAATTGAATGATACAACTTGAATAAATTATATATCTAAGAGATTTGTTAATTAAATTTTTCATTTTTTGTCATTGTTTTCATTTTCTATTTGATTTTACTTAATTAAAGAGACTGAAAAGCTTTAGAAATTTTACATGCCAATTTACTTTCATTTTTTTTCTAAATGAAGGTATAAAACACAAAACATAAGACGTTATTATGACTTTCTCTTTCTCTCAAACGCAAATACGACGACGGATTAAAAACGTGACTCGACTCGCGTGCGGTTTAAAATAGCTCTTTCTGTCTGACGATCTCGAGGGAGCGCCTCCCCGATTATTCCGTAACCGACTATTACGAGCAATCTACTCATCATCTCAGCCAAGAATGCGCAATTCGTAAAACGTTAGGGACTTTTTATAGAGGGTTGCCTCTTGAGAGAGAGAGAGAGAGAGAGAGAGAGAGAGAGAGAGAGAGAGAGAAAGAACGTTTTTTCACCCTTTCTAAGAGAGAAATATTTCATGATATCTCGGTAAATGATACAGAGAAGATGAGAATCGAAGATCTCCCATCTCGATTTTCCACGGCTCTTCGACGCGCGATTCCATCATCGTCGTGCAATGCACGATTCGTGATCTAAAAATAATACGTTTGCAGGTTACCCTTAAAGAGAGTGTTCTCCTTCGAACCCGACGAGCATCGCACGTACACTCAGGCACATAAAGCCGGCCACGAGGGCAAGGACTGCGCCGCCATGTTTCCCGGGTGCAGTTTTTCCCTCATCGACTTGGCCCTCGGGAAATATAACGCACCCCCGTCTGACCCGAACCTCACAGATCCCGCGGCCGGAACTTTCGGCATGGAAGACGAGTATGCCGCGGACAGTTGGTCGAGGTACAGCATGAAATAACGCGATGCATGCAGATGATAATCTGATTCCAACGAACGTGCATCATAATGTTGATGATCCTATCCAAATAAGGTAAATGATGATCGCTAAGAATGTCGAGAAAGTACAATACAGATAATAGAGAAACAGACTTTTGCAATTGCAAATGCACATTTTTGATATACGAAATGAATCTCTTTATTCAAATATAATCAATTATTGATATATTTTTATCTATCAATGTCCCGAATATTATAGCTTTCATAAAAAGGCATATTTTTGTAACTAGGTGTATTTTACATATTTAGCTCCCTTTTTCAAAATGTGTGTCGCAAAATTAAATAATGTCTTGCAAATTTATTTTTTCATATTTAATAAGTTTCGAATAATATGTATAATTAAAGGAAAAAATGTCTAACAAGTTACGTTTAAATAACTGATATTGTGTATAAGAAGTGATTTGCGAATATATCAGAATGACGCGTGATTCGCAAATAACAGAGCCGAGAGTGGAAACTGGAGCGCTACTATATATGTAAAAGACGGGAAAGCGTTTATGTAACGTTATGTACGGTTATATTTTCCATAATAAGCTGTAACAATTCCTTGTTATGTTGTTATCATAATACGATTTAATTGGATAGACTTGTCAGATTTAACAACACATGGAACACGAAAGCGATGAAAGGATATTTCGAGTACAGACAAGAAAAAATCGAAGGAAAGAACGGCCTAAGAATCGGGATTCAAAGAAATGTATTATGCTTCATTCTTGCGAATACATCATCGATATTGCAAGATGTTTTACAAGAATACAGAAACCTTTTTACGTTTTGCAATGCCATATCACAATGCTTTAAATCTTTATGCACTGTAGATCAAAATGTGAATCGTGTATTCTTGTGTAAAAACTAACTTTAAAGGTATAACTCCAAGAGAGTAAGTATTTTTATTATTAAAAATTATAATTACACGCAAAATAAAAGTTTACAAAGAAACACGATATAAAAACAAATGAAAATAATATGAAAATTTAAATGGAAGAAAAAAAGAAGTTTTATTCTTGCATAGTGGATGATGAATTTACATATTAAAATTAATTAATCGACTAGTAAAAATAGCATTGCGTAGAAAAATATTATTTCGTAATCGAGATACAATGATGTTATTATCAAGAAAAATAATTATACTTCTATGATTAATAAATATCTATGTGTGTGTTATTTACATATTTATTATAGAAGAGAGAGATTTAATTACTGACATGTAAAATTAAAATTGATATGTAAAATTAATCTTTAATTAAATGCAAGTATTTTAATTATAATCATGAATGTGAATTCGATTTATGCGAGAGAAAAGCTGCGCGTATTAGATATCTCAATTATATTATTTATACCAATTACCATATTTATATTTGAGAATGGTATTTTTTCACTAAAATATAATTTCTCAGGTTTCGTTAATTATTCATAGTTTTTTTGTAATATTTATGCTTTAAAAAAATATTGAAAATTGATTAGTGAACTGCGACACGGCCAAAGAAAATATTAAATTTTTTAAATAAAAAATTTTATATTAAATATATTTGAAAATATTTTTATATATGAAGAACGTTTTTTGTATGCACACAACGTGAAATATAACTGATAATTAACTAAATAAAAAAAATAACTAAATTTATATAAAATCTAATAAAATAACTAAATTGACTCAAAGGCAGTAAATTTTGATTGTAACATAAAATAATATCCGTGATTGCAACAAATGTATTTAGTAATTTTTTGATTAAACTGATACATTTTAATATATGTTCGTAAATTATGGGCACAGCGAGTGTCGATATTGTAGAATGCAGGACTCAAATTATGAGTAACTCATAAATCACAAAATTTCAAATATGTGCAAAAGCAATCCAAATGTGAATAAAGCCCGTGCATTTCGCATTGGTAAAATTATGCTTAAAGCATAACAGCGTAACTTTACATACAAAATGCTCCTATTATTTCCTATGTATTTGATAATTTTTAGTCATTTATACAGAATGGCATATAAATATCAAAAGCTTTAAAATACAGTAAGTACAACTAGAAAATATATACTGCAAATTTATATGCGATATAAATTCTGTTTTAACAATAATTTCAAAAGTTAATTAAAACATTCAGAGAGAATCATATAATAGATTGTGCCCCAGATCACTGGGTTCCAGATCAAAAATCATGTAAATATAATGTACAATAAATTATTTAAAAACATTTATTGTTTTTTATTTCCTTTCTCTTTATCTGTTTGTTCTATCCATGACTTCCATAACTTAGAAGACATCATTTTTCAAACATGTTGCTACAAAGTATACACGGAGATATGATAAGGGGTTAATCGTGCACGGCCGACGTGGATCGGGTGAGATACGACACGAAATGGGACGTTGCATCAAGAACCGGTAGAAGTAGCAGAGAGGGTGAGTGATGGAAACTGGAGGAAGAGGGAAGAAGAGGAGAGTACCCTCGAGATAGCACTTATGTTGTATTTGCTACGTGTCATAAATACTTTATATCTCCTTGGAAGAGATGATAATTTTACTGAAACCTACTTTCTTTGCACGCATAGTCAAAGTAATTACTTTAAGTGGTATTTTAAATAGTAATTTAAAATTTCATATACACGATTCTAAATAAAATAATTTTGCTAGAAAACCATATATCCTTTCCTTTCTTTTTTTCTCTTACATATATAAATATATATTTTATTCGCATTATATATCATCAAGATATTGACTTTTAATTTAAAGTAAAAATTTTATAATTATTTTTGCACAAGAGATTTTTAATTAAATCGGCCATTGTTAAACCTGGCAATTAGATTTTACAGTTTAATTCGTCACGCATACTGCTCGGAGAGGTAAGTGCTTAAGTTATCTTTTTTTCACGTTTTATACTTTTATTTCTTTTTCAGTTAATCCGACTTCTTTAATCTTCCGCGTCCTCGCTGATTAGTTTTTCTCACTCTCTCTTTCATGTTCGCTTCTGGCATCATAATATTGCTATTCAGGATAAAGAATGAAAAATTACATCCCGCTCATCGAAGAGAAACCCTCGGGCTACAACGGTAACGATATAAAAATGACGTAACTATTTTGTCCTACTTAGCTCGTTTAAACGGATATCAGTGCGATAGGCTTGTCGGAGAAATTGATTCTGGATTTATTCGATGACATCAATGTCCGGGTGGGTGTCTCCATGGGAATAATGACACTCTTGTGACGCCGTTATTGATATTATTGACGAAGAAATCCGATATATTGATTGCGAGGCAAAAGCAAGGCTCGTTAATAATGCCACCCTGATGGAGTACGATAATTCTGAAAGTAATGTCTATTATTGCGTATACGTATTTCCATTTTTCTTCATAGTGCGATATGAATATGCGAAATATTCCGAAAAGGAATTTTCGCTGATGCGTTTTCCGTATTTTCCATTCATTTTACATCAACGCTATAAAATGGTCTTGCGTGGCACTTTCTTGATAACGTTAATGCCATTAATAATCTCAATAATTCAATGCGTTTATGGGTATTACATGTACTTGTAGTAAAGTTCTGGGTAAAATATTTGAAGGTTTTATTAGTCTGAAACGATTCTAGGAGTAATATGACGAGTAAGAGATGCGCGAATAAAGTTATTAGATATTTACGAGAGTTATCACTCGGCTGAACGACCGAAGAAGCCGTTAGATGCTCTTTCGCCCTATTTATGTCGCAAAGGTTGCTTATACATTTTATTGCCGTCCGTCGTGTTTGTTTTGCCCGTAAGGGACGCCCTTTTTGCTCTTGTCGCAAGACGCGGCTTTTTATCATTACATGGGTACGATGCACCTATCTTGGTAGCCTCATACGTGCGACCCTACCTTTTTCTAGGCATTGCACGGATAAAGGGACTTCGACGTGCATCCATAATGAAAAGCACGCATCCTGTAAAAGCAACGCGATTGTAAAACCGCAATTAATTATAGCGCGAGAATTAAATTATTTAGAACACGCGTGTAAGTCGAATTAAATGAGAGTCGAATTAAATGAATCGACAAAATCGATTTCATATCACACACACATCTCGCTCCCATAATTCAAATAATTACGTTGTAATAAACGCATTTGTGATGTAACAATGTAAAAACGCGTTAATGCAATTTATTTACAAGTAGATCGACGAGTGTTATACTTAACGAAGTAAAATATACTTAATACAATATAAACTTAATGAAGCAAAAAATCAATTCGTGCAGTTAGAAAATGAGATATAATTCTAAAAGTTGCACTTTTTTAACTTTAGCACAGCCTTAGAAGCTTTAATTTCTCGCACCTGCGCGATAACGAAAATTAGATTTAAGGAAATTATGCCGGCGTAATTGCACTGACGGAACAGCATTAATGTTGCCATTTAAACGGCAATTAAAATGTAAAATTCAATTTTTACATTTTCGGTATAGGCCGCTTTATCTTTCACAGCGAACTTATTAAAATTAATGAGCGGTGACATCCGTAAGATGCATTAGCGACCGAAAAATTCACTTTCGTGCCCATTTTCTTTCTTTGTTACGCGCTTGGGACAGATATCTCTCATAGATATCCATCGATGCGTATTTAATCATCGAAAAGAGGAGGCACAAAGACTTATGCCATACCATTCGCTTTGTCAAAAATCTTCTGAAATATCGCTCTATACCACAAATTAGAATTTAAGTTAGTAATTCGAGTCGCGCTGTAACCAGCCATGAAATGGAATACATCAATTACAGGCAATTCGCTGTTATCCGGCGACAACGAATTCCGGTTTCCTACCCACCGCACAAATTTATTTTTGATCCCGACATCTCTCTCTCTCTCTCTCTCTCTTTTACTCTCCTTCTCACTCCCTCTTTTTTGCCATTGAATAAAATCCGGTAAGAGGGAACAGATATCGATTCCGCGCGGCGCGACGGCACCGCCCTAGTTCGCGGGCCAGAACCGGGCGTGGTGGTGTGTATAGGCTGCTTATAACAACCCTCCGTTTGATCAAGCGACGACACCGCCGTATGATTCTATGGCGATTCCCGCCGCGCGTATTATCCGGTAGGTTATAAAAGCCTAGTAAAGGATACATCTCCTGTGTGCCATCGCGAGTATCCGAAGTCGCCAGTTTCGCGGTCGACGTTAAAATTGCGACGACGACGACGACATATCTCGTGGGACACGCGATGCAACCGTAAGCTACCCCGTACGCGACGTTTTCCATGCAAAAAGAGAGACGCTTGTCGAATAGAAAAACACCATTTTTTTTCAACCTTTTGCATCCT